ACTTTTGGTTATTACGTAGACTACACTTTCGATTACATTTAGTTACATTTAAGAGGTTTTAAAAAGCATTATGGCTGTGTGCATATTGTGCATTCCGGTGTGCAAAACCCTTAGTAGATTGGACAGAATCCTCCCACCCCGGCAGGTCACTGACCTGCATAACCCCTGACAGCTGTACTTCATTAAGAGTGTGGACACTGGACAGTAATTGCATGTAGACTGCAGTCCCTCTAAAGGCATGGCTGTAAGTCCCTTCCATCTCAAGGTCTCTAAGTTTATTTTCTCAGGCCTCAGCTTGTTCACATTAGGAGGTCGTGGGCAGGGGGGTGGAAGCCAGCTAGAGCTAACAGCACATTGGCCTGGAAAAGGGGTGGGCACTGCCTGGGAATGGCCTTGAGAGGGTGAGATGCAAGCTGCCCACTAATCTCACATCAGCAGCTCACAGTGTTGGGAGAGGTTTTGTAGTGTTTTATTTTGTGATTGGGGAAGCACATGTTTTGGGGTTGCGGTCTGAACTCAGAGAACTCTCTTCTGTTTTTGCATTTTTCAAACATGTGAAACATGTCTAATTCTATATATTTTTAACTAAGATAGTTAGACAAACTACTCTAACTTGATTGATTGCCTGAAATAGCTTGGTAGCTGGTTATGAGGTTGGGAACTTTTCTAGCTGGCTAGCTAAAGCCAACTTCATAAAATTGCTAGGCGGCTATTATTACAGAGAAACAAAACAGTTTTGTTTTATTTATTCATCAAGAAGGCATCAATAGGCTATATAGCTTGATCAAATTAATTTACAAACATACTCCTGCCCATCACCGGCAGCTAAAATCAAATCAAATGCTGTGTGTGTCACTCTACACTCTCTCTCCACTGGGCACACACTGGTTGTTTCAACGTCATTTCAATTAAATTACATTGAATCAACGTGGAATAGATGTTGAATTGACGTCTGTGCCCAGTGAGTCTCCTCCTCCACTGACGATACTGCACGCACTATCTAGCATCCTGCCTAAGCATCTCTTTGCCTCGTGCAGCTTGGAAGGAACAACTTACTAGGGAGAATGGGGGGGATGGGGGCTATTCTTTGCCTGGTCCAGTAAGTGTGCCCCCTCCGCAAAATACAGATGACAGATCTTTTTATAAATAATTATGATAAAACGTGTGGGCTGAAAATGTAGTTTAGTAATTAATTTAACATCTAAAATAAAATAAAAAAACATGACAAATCTGAGGGAGCATGTGCCTTTGTGCCCCCTATGGCCATGACGCCACTGTCTGCACAATTGATTACATTCTGTTTATTTGTACTATATGTATGTTGATGGTTTCTAGAAGAAATGGAAGTACCTTGAAAGTGCCTAAACTGCTCGTGGGAGTCCGACTTCAGAGCTGAGATTGTATAAATATGCAAATGTTTTTACTCAACCTCTTTGCCCATAGATTTCTTCAAGAAATGAACTACTGAGTGTAAGTGCCCTCTAGTGTTCCTAAAAGGGGGGGGTGCAGTGCAACGTTAAATAGGTAGCCTACTGATAATACTTATATTATTCACAGGTGATCAGGCACTGCTCATACCAAGTGAGCAGCTGGAATTTATGATTTATCCACAGAATTTCAATATAATAGTCTATATTTCACAGAGAAGTGATATCAGTTGTGAGAAATAGCTTGAAAAATCCCTTGTAATCCCGGTCCTCCACACACTTCCAATATGCTGTGCATCACAAGAACATAGTCAAAGTAGGTGGACTGGCCTGGCTAGCCTCAGCTTAACAGCTGATGCCACTTTGCTATTGGCTGACGAAATTATCGCATCATCAAACTCCAGTGTTCATCCTCTGAGCTCTTTCCCTTTCCAAAGGTGACCAGGCCAACCTGGCGTTTGGATGACTTCTTGGCTGCATGGATCTTGTACACAGAGAGCACAATGCAGCACTCCCTGATCTGTGGGTCTGGCAGCGTGAACATCATGACTTTGTTGAAGACGGTCACTTCCCACCAGGTCTTAACAGTGGACTACTGATGCCGCAGCTTGAACTGGTTGCAGAGGACACTGATCTTGGCATACAGTGCTGTGAACAGAGTCAACAGAACTAGAACAATAAAATGGTAACTTTTTTAAACACTCACCAATCAATCCTACCTTTATCTACAACGCAACAGTATGCAACTTCAGCTCAATAATGAGTTTATCGCACAAGAAAAGTGCCATTTACCTTTATTTTTTTTACTTGGCTGAGGCGGTGCCCTGATTTTCAGCAGACCAACCTCTAGCCTCTGGAGGGTGTGGAGATACTTCAGACGGAGAAGCACCTCTCCAACCAGGTCCTGGAAATTATAATAATATATTACTAAAGTCAAGACAGTACACAGAAAGGATTTATATAATTATTATCCTATAGATCCAGATAGTGTATCACCCACCTTCTGTGGTGTCTATAGGTCCTCGAGGACATCAAGAGGATATGAGATTTCCATATCGCACAGATGAACTCTGACCTCTCCCAGGATCCTATGCCTGGAGAATTTATCAAAGTCTCTAACCTGTGGAAAAGAGGGAAATATGTTGGTAATCTGATCTAATTAGCTAGTCAATGTAACACCAAACAAATTCAAATAATTATCTCAGTTATGTACCTCAAACCTGACGGTGATGTGAGGGAACATAATTACAAATCATTTGTAGACTGCAATTTGACCGCAATAATCCCAAACAGATATAATATTTCACTAAAACATAATAATTTCAAATCTTGCTTAAATTTGTATACGATCACATGTATCTCTCTATTATGCGTGGGAATACTTGGGAACAGACTTCCAAAATTAAAATAACTTGGAGCTGATTTCACAGTCTTTTATGGCCAACAATTATGTATTTATTTTTGCTCAGACAATTCGGTCCACAGGCCGCCAGTTGGGGAACCCTGTTATAGCGAGACAACATTATTTAGTTAGTGTTGCTGTATAACAACTCTGTCATAACAGTCATAACAAGCAAATTACACTGAACAAAAATATAAACGCAACATGTAAAGTGTTGGTCCCATGTTTTATCAAAAATGTTCTGCACAAATTTGTTTACATCCCTGTTAGTGAGCATTTCTCATTTGCCAAGATAATCCATCCACCTGACAGGTGTGGCATATCAAGAAGCTGATTAAACAGCATGATCATTACACATGTGCACCTTGTGCTGGGGACAATAAAAGGCCACTTTAAAATGTGCAGTTTTGTCACACAACACAATGCCACAGATGAGCGTGGGAGTGTGCAATTGAAATGCTGACTGCAGGAATGTCCACCAGAGCTGTTGCCAGAGAATGTAAAGTTCATTTCTCTTCCATAAGCTGCCTCCAACGTCATTTTAGAAAATGTGGCAGTATGTCCAACTGGCTTCACAAACGCAGACCACGTGCAACCACGCCAGCCCAGGACCTCCACATCGGGCTTCTTCACCTGCGGCATTGTCTGAGTGGGGGTGGGGGCAGTGCTGAGGAGTCTTTCTGTCTGTCTGAAAAACTCATTCTGATTGGCTGGGCCTGGCTCCCCAGTGGGTGGGCCTGGCTGCCAAGTGGGTGGGCCTATGCCCTCCAAGGCATAGGCCCACCCGCTGCACTCCTGGGAACGCCATAGATTAGGGCCTAATGTATTTCAATTGACTGATTTCCTTATATGAACTGTAACTCAGTAAAATCTTTGAAATTGTTGTTGCATTTATATTTTGGTTCAGTATTTATTAGAGAAGTAAACTAAATATATATTTCAAAGCAAGTAGCTCCCCAATAGCATGTTATTACACATTATTGACAAATGTATAACAATGAAGTCACCCATATCCTTAATCCTTATTCACTGTATTCTGATAATTCTTTACAATTGCCAGATAGAAATACACAGTGACACACTCTGACAAACATAATCTGAGCGATGTACAATTATAATAAAAGACTAAACAGAATGTGAAATAATAATTAATACCTTATGACACAATCCGTCTGTCCCTCTCCTCCATTCACTGTCATCTGTGTGTTTACATCACCATACATTCATTCTCTGGCAGACTGACTCACTGATCATTACAATACCTGACTATCCATCACCTGGTTAAACAGGTCTGATTAGTTTTTAATGATGTTCCAAGACTGCCTTGTCTTATTAACTTCCTCCAAAAGCAGCCTTGACATTTGAAGCAATTCCATTCCGGCTCATTTTTCCACCAGCACGATTTGCAAAGCAACTGCTAGGTGAGGTTTATCACATGTAGTACCCAAATAGCCACCAGATTAATTAGATAGTATGCAAATAAAACAGGGTTGAATTGTTTCAGCAGTCACCTAGCAGTGTTTGGATGTTTGAGTGATCATATATAATTGACTTCTGAATTGAAAATCTCTTAATAGTGTTTGTTTTGTGCGGAGACATGCAGTTCTCTGAGATAACTAGAGCAAAGCAAAAGCATTCCTAACATGAGAGAAGAGAGAGAGAAGGTTTTTAAAATATCCACCCACTTCCTTGTTCCTCAACATTTTTGTGCACAACTTTTATTTCAGCTAACATCAGACAAACTCCTACTATGCGTCATAGGGGATAACACAGGGGATAAATGTTATTTTCCAGGATACTGCATGTTACTATATTTTCTAAAGACACAAATAAATACTCTCCATTACTATTGTGTAATAAGACCAAACGTTTAATTGGAAAAGAGAGCAGTAAAATGCATCATCCTTTCAGACGTAACAGTGGGATATTTCCTCATAATAACATAAGGAAGTGCCAGAACACTCACTGCTCAGCAATTAAACAATTTAATTGAATATCCTCTTATAGGTTTACAAAGAAGTCTCATGGGAAGATACTTATCTAAAGCTGAAAGAAGGGCTTTCTTCAAAGACAAACAAAACTGTCCACTATTATACACAAAAATGTATGCACGCATGACTGTAAGTCGCTTTGGATAAAAGCGTCTGCTAAATGGCATATTATATTATTATTATTATTATTATTATTTGCTTCCTCGCCACTTCAACCTGTTGCACATAGGCCTACTGAACAATTAACTTGCCTCATTTAAATAATATAGGCTAGGCATATAGTGTCAGTGTTACAGCAAATAAAACTTCATGTCATATAGAACATTACATGATGCATTTGTCATTTAAAACTGCTATTTAGGTAGTACATTCAACTTTGCAAAGTCAAAGCATAAACATGTGCAAAGCAACAACTTTATAAAATCATCCATGGTGATATTCCAATCACCAGGGTAGTGGCTCCCCAGTGTAGTGTAGAAATGACCCATGATCCTTTTCAGTCAATCCACCAATTACTGACAACACAGATAATATGCTCTCCTCTGGACTCAAAGGTGCCTGGAGGCAAAGGGGAAATTATAATGAGTATTAATTATCAATGTCTCCCTAAAAAACTACTATTTATTCTCATGGGGCTATTACTAAAATAAACAAGTACGGATGTGGGGACAGATATTGTGATGCTGTGTGCATTACGTTGTCTCTGCTGAGAAGAGGAGAATAGAGGCTTACCTCTGGTCCACCCATGTCAGTGCGTACCCAGCCAGGGTGGAGGCCCATACACAGGATGCCATCAGCCTCCAGATCCACTGCCATGCATCGGGTCACCATGTTCAGGGCACTCTGTCAAAACTTGTTGTCAGAGCCATGTCACTTATGTTATATCTGCTTGACACTTGTCCACATTTATCAGGTTGTCAAATGACCAACAATATACATACCTTGGATGTTCTGTAAGGATACCACTTGATGTTGTTGGCCCGGTCACCCCAGTTGAGCTCGACTGACCCTAACAAGGAAGCAATGTTGATGACTGCAGCTCTATGGATGCCCATCCCTGTGCCTTTGACAGCTGCCCTCTTCAACAGGGGTAGGAGAGCCTGGCAGAGATACAGAATGTGAGAACATTTCTATTTCTCTCATGCAGGTGGACTATCATGTTGTATTTTTGTTTATGTAAAGATTAAAATTAACAAATTAAACCTTAGTGATCATAAGGGGGGCAACAGAGTTGGTGTGGAAGTTCTCCAACATCTTCTCAGCCGTGACGGTCTCAAAATTGGCGACAACATTGATTCCAGCATTGTTGATTAGACAATTGAGGCCCACCTCCTGAACAAGCAGGTCAACGTCTTGTGCAGCTTTCTCTATGCTCTCCTGACTGACAACATCTGGAGAGGAGGCAAAGTCAAGAACAAAACAATATGATTTTTTTTATAGCATTATATCATGCATACAAAAGTTATTGATTTAATTATTCTTACCAAGCGTTATTATATGGATATTTGGATGTTTTTCAGCTAGTTTCTGCAGTTCCTGCAAAACAGAGAATTACTTCACACAACTACATTGCAAGTCTGATGTGCAGATATGGATGCACCAGTGACATGGGTTAGACCAGCCTGGTCTCAGACTAGACATAACATAGTACATCCGGGACACTCAAATAAGTATGATATGTTACATAAAACAGAAGGTTACTTAACGCAAAAACACAGTAAGGTTATTAGTCCGGGTGGATGGATTGGTGTATAAGATGAACGTCTAGCAATTGGGTTGCATGTTCGAATCTCATCGCGGACCACTTTTGCATTTTAGCAACTACTTACTACTTTTTAGCTACTTTGCAACTACTGACCATGTTAGCTAACCCTTTAACCTTACTTAGCATGTTAGCTAACCCTTCCCTAGCCTAACTCCTAGCACTAACTTTAACCGCTAACATTAGCTAGGCTAGGGGTTAAGGTTAGGGTTAAAGTAACGCGAACGTCTAGCAACCCAATGGTTGCGTGTTCGAATCTCATCATGGACCATTTTAGCATTTTAGCTATGCAGCAGCAACTACTTACTACTTTTTAGCTACTTTACACCTACGTAGCATGTTAGCTAAACCTTCCCCTAACCTTAACCCTTTAACCCCTAACCTTCAGCCAGCTAACGTTAGCCATTTAGCCAACGAATTGTAATTCGTAACATATCATACGAAATGGATGATTGACATCCACAAACATCCCATGTGAACCGTTACATATCATATTAATTGACTTGTTCCAGATTTACATTTACTATGCTAAGTCTACCCCTGAGTCCAGGTTGGTTAGACATGGGTATTTGCTGTTTGAGAAAGTATGAGCAAACGTTAGCCTACATCAAAATGTTATAAAATATTGAGAATATGCATAATTATTTATATGACAGACCTTACATGAAGTCCACCAACCCCTATAAAAGAACACTGCAGCCTAGGCTACGCTCAAAACACAGCACAAGATGTATAACATTTCCGCATGGGTTTATTTACCTGGGCCCCGCTCGGATTTCTGGCCGTGGCAATAATTTTGTCCGGAGCAGAGCTCCCTGCCACCAGACTTTCCACTACTTGCAGACCGAGGCCTCGGCTGGCTCCTGTCACCATTACCGTTCGGCAATTTTTAAAAGCTCTATTCATGGTTATTATGAGAAGTTACGAGTTGTTGTGTGCTATTTTTTCGTATCTACTGTAGTGAGTAATCATACCATGATTTACTGCAGTGGCTTAGCCTAGTCACACGATTTAAAGGCCCAGTGCTGTCATAAACGTAATTTTCCTGTGTTTTATATATTTCCACACTATGAGGTTCGAATAATACAGTGAAATTGTCAAAATTATGATAATGCCCTTTTAGTGTTAGAGCTGTTTGAAAAGACCTCATGAAATTTCAGCCTGTTTTGGTGGGATGGAGTTTTGGCCTGCCTGGTGATATCAAATTAGTTAATAGACCAATAAGAAAGAGAGTTCCAAACCTCTGTGTGCCAATAACAGCTAGCTTTCAGTTTTCCCCTCCCCTCCCTATATATATATATATATATATATATATATATATGAAGGCTGCTGAGGGGAAGGGGAGGAAGGCTCATAATAATGTCTGGAACGGCGCAAATGTATTTCATAACCTCCCGAGTGGTGCAGTGGTCTAAGGCATTTGTGGCTGTGCCACTAGAGATCCTGGTTCAAATCCAGGCTCTGTCGTAGCCGGGGCGGCGCACAATTAGCCCGGCGTTGTCCAGGGTAGGGGAGGCCGGCAGGGATGTCCAGGGTAGGGGATGTCCTGCAGGGATTTACCTCAGTTGGTAGAGCATGGCGTTTGCAACGCCAGGGTTGTGGGTTTGATTCCCATGGGGGGCCAGTATGAAAAAATAAGTAAAATAATGTATGCACTCACTAACTGTAAGTTGCTCTGGATAAGAGCGTCTACTAAAATGGAAAATGATACCATTCCACGAATTCTGCTCTAGCCCGTTACCATGAGCCTGTCCTCCCCAATTAACGTGCCACCAACCTCCTGCATTTGGAAAGTATTCAGAGCCCTTCACTTTTTCCACATTTTGTTAGGTTACATCCTTATTCTAAAATTGATTTAAATATTTTTTCCCCTCATCAATCTACACACAATACCCCATAATGACAAAGTGAAAACAGGTTTATAGAAATTTTTGCACAAAAAAAAGAAAAAAGAAATACCTTGTTTACATAAATATTCAGACACTTTGCTATGAGACTCGAAATTAAGCCCAGGTGCATCCTGTTTCCATTGATCATCCTTGAGATGTTTACACAACTTGATTGGAGTCCACCTGTCATAAATTCAATTGATTGGACATGATTTGGAAAGGCACACACCTGTCTATATAAGGTCCCACAGTTGACAGTGCATGTCAGAGCAAAAACCAAGCCAAGAGGTCGAAGGAATTGTCCGTAGAGCGCAGAGACAGGATTGTGTCGAGGCACAGAGCTGGGGAAAGGTACCAAAATATTTCTGCAGCATTGAAGGTCCCAAGAACACAGTAGCCTCCATCATTCTTAAATGGAAGAAGTTTGGAACCACCAAGACTCTTCCTTGAGCTGGCCGCCCGGCCAAACTGAGCAATCGGGGGAGAAGGGCCTTGGTCAGGGAGGTGACCAAGAAGCCGATGGTCACTCTGACAGAGCTCCAGAGTTCCTCTGTGGAGATGGGAGAACCTTCCAGAAGGACAACCATCTCTGCAGCAGCACTCCACCAATCAGGCCTTTATTGTAAAAAAGCCAGACGGAAGCCACTCCTCAGTAAAAGGCACATGACAGTCCACTTGGTGATTCTCTGGTCTGATGAAACCGAGATTGAACTCTTTAGACTGAATGCCAAGCGTCACTTTGAAAGTTACCAGTAAAATACCCTCCCTTTGCAACCCTACTCCAGGTATTTCTACCTGACGTTTCCAGTGTTCTGCAAGCGCTGAAGAAGAGAGTATCCATATGTCGGCAGGTTGTAGGCTACAGGCCTTTCATTAATGAAAACATAATTTTTGCACCTTATCCTTTCCCCGCTACAGTTGACATTTTTTTGTAGTTTAATCATTGCTCAAAATTAAGAAACTGACATTTACAAACTGTGCAACCATCTTTATTTTTGTGACAATAACACTGGTCGGACATAATGAAATGAAGCTGACTCAAATCTGAGAAACTCAGATTACAGTACACATAAATCATGAACAGATTATTTCAGAGAATTGAGTACCATTCAAAAGAACGTCAGTTTAATTTATGTATGAAACAAACTAGATAGTGACGTTGGGCAGAAAAAGATTACTGTTACAGTAGTTAAAAACTGTGTCTAATTGGAACAAGCAGACACCTCCACCAAAATAAAGGAGTTCCAACTCCTGGGATCACAGGGTGCCAGAGTTCTGCAACCTCAACAGAACAGGTGATTGAAAGGGTAAAACTTCTGACATGCTTTAGAATGTTTGGGTCCCTGCAATCCATAATCTACAAGGTGGAACCCACCATTAATCTTTCACAACACAAAGTAAAAACCATAAGTCTGAATTTCAAGCCAGTGCTTGGCTTTGAGGGCAAGTGCGTGTTACAGGTTGCCTGGACTCTGCTTTCCATGGCCCATCAGAAATGTACACCACTCAAAGTCAGAGGGCATCTTAAGGTGCATTACATTTGACTTTCAATGATGGTGAAGCACATGAGGGGGCATGTTTACAAGGCAATGTGCAAGCAGAAAAACTCCCTTCATGCTCCTGAAATTGAGTCAAAACAGTTCATACAGTATACAGCCCATAGATATAAAACAGTTATATTCAATTCTATGGTACAGCATTAGTGGGAGATGTGGTAGTGGATTGGTAGACTGGTCATCCGTTACAATAAATTACAACAGCAAAATAACATCCTTAGCACACATTGTGGCCAGTTGATAATCACAATCAGTGACTCCATGCAGCACATATCATCCCTCATAAAACAAGTTCCATGACTCCACTAGCATCACCTAGACAGGTTCCACTGACAAAGTTGATACCAAGTTTTGCAGCACCTGATATATTTTTTGAAAGATACTTCGTAAGTTAATAATGAATAATTCAGAGACACATATTTCAATACAATTACCTGAAATAATTGTCTTAATCCTTATTACTTTGGTGTTCCATGTTACAACCAACAGTTGAGCACAGTTCTTATAGAGACAAGGTGTGTTCAAACTAAGTGAGAGGACTTGCTGCAATATAGACAACATGATTCTAAACTTGTGCTTTCATTGGGAAGTGTGATCTATAAGATATTTTGATGTCTGAGGGGGGTCAAAAAAGATTCAAGAATTCCTTGATTTATTTTCCAGGGAACCCACAATGTTTCCAGGGGACTCAATTAAAAGCCTAGTTACAGATGGTCCAACATACAGTATCTAGACAATGCCAACAGAAAATGCCAACAGAAATAACACCATGGTATCTTCTTACTTTTGAGTCTTTCCCTAAAGGAAAGCTGAGGAGAGAGTTAATTTACATAAGGATTTGTATTTTTCTTGTCTGACGCTAACGCCCCTCTCTGTCCTCTGGTGGTGACTACGGTGTGACTCCTGGTCGACCATCTCACTTGGTCACTGCATGGATACCTTGTGCAAGGTAACCCACGTTGCCAGAGGTGACACCAGCCATGGAGATACGCCCATCCTTTGTCATGTAGACGGAAAACTCCTTCGTAAGGCGCTCCACCTGCACAAGTTGAAATACAGTTATACTCATGACTCTCATCTGATACTTATAGTATAGCCAATGTTTCATCTGATGATTCCTTTACAAGTAGGTGACCTGATGGAAATCACATACTATAGTATGAGACCATGTAGAGACAGTTACTCTACCTGTTCAGGCTTCAGCCCTGTGAAGCAGAACATGCCAATCTGGTCGACGACGTGCTTCCAGTTCCGAGTGGAGCCCTCCTTCTTCAGGTTGGCCACCAACAGTTCCCTCATTGTGATGATGCGGTTGGCCATGCCATGCACCTCCCTCAGCCTAGGGAGAGAACAGTCGTGACTCAACTGGGCCCATATTTATTAGGTTGGCTGTGAGACAATTGAAGTATGACACTGTGGATGGCTGTTACTCACCACTCTTTGTACAGATCTGGTGTATTGAGGATGGTGGCAGCGATGCGTGCCCCATTCATGGGAGGGTTGGAGTAGATGGGCCGAATTAGGATCTTCAGCTGGGACTCCACACGCTTGGCCTCCTCAGCATCCTTACACACAACAGTGAAGCCCCCAACACGCTCACCTGAGGACATAGCACACCACCACACAAGGTATGTTGCTTAGATTAAATAAAAAATATTTGGGTTTTTCCCCCAACATTATACTCAAACATGACCAGTGTGATTATCATTACTCACCATAGAGACCCATGTTCTTAGCAAACGACTGAGAAAGCACAATGTTGTGGCCTTGCTCAATAAAATAACGTACAGCCCAGGCATCACGGTCAATATCACCACTGGCAAAGCCCTGGTAGGCCATGTCAAAGAACACCAGGAGGTTCCTTTTCTGGAATAATGAAAATTATAAGAGAACTTGTTATATATTTTGGCCTGGTTGGTGGATCGAATGAGGTGTCAGAGGGCAACTGAGAACTTTATATTCAGCTGTGTTTACCTTCACCAGGTCAGCAATCTCCTTCCACTGTTCTAGCCGAGGGTCCACTCCTGTGGGGTTGTGGGCACAGGCATGAAGCATGATGACACTCTTCTCAGGGATTTTCTGAATAAGAGGAAACAATACAAACAATTCCATCTATAATACATGGACATACAATTATCTAGCAGTTTATTGTACTTTCTCTACACATTGACATGGGGAGATTAGGCTTCTGTGCCATGTCTTACAGAGATGTCATTCAGAGCTCCCTGGAAGTCAAAGCCACAGGTCTTTGGGTCATAGTAGGTGTATGCCTTCAGTTGCATCCCAGCATCTCTGAAGATGGGTGTATGGTTCCCCCAGGAGGGCTTGGGCAGATACACATCCCTGGCTCCTGTATGGAAACGGGACTGAGGGACGGGTGCAGGAACGAAGAGAGTGGGGAAAATAATAGACGTTCATTAATAAGCTTGTGCAGATGCAAAGTTTGGTAACAGAATTACAGCACAAACAGCACAAACCGTCATTCTGTTACCAAATTTTGCATCTGCACTGTTCTTCAAGTAAATGTGTTTTTGTACAATATTCTGTGGAAATTGTTAAAAGTAGTTATTGTGCATAGAGTTTAACTTCGCAATCATTGTTTTTTGTTTAACATACATTTTAAAGTGAAAAATCTGAGTCTCAGCATCACTATGTTACCATGGAACTACCCATCTGTAAAAAGGCAAAAGGAACAGGGCTCTTACCAGGAAGTTGGCTCCGATTCTCAAGGACCCAGTTCCAGAAATAGTTTGGACAGTGATGTTCTGTGAACAGGGAATAAACAACAAACCGTCAAAATAAGGCTTCTAAATCTGTGCTGTGGAATCAGGATGTCTGAGGTTCCGGGAAAGATTTACCCTGCCACTCTTGATAACCTCATTGTCGTCTCCCAAAGCCAGCTTGGCGCATGCCTTGGTAAAGTCCCCCAGACCGCCAATAGCCAGGTATTCTTTGTCCAGCTTCTTTGCAGCAATCTGAGCTTCAGCCTAAGTATACACAGGGTCAAAGTCAAGCCAAGGTTTTTAGTAAAGTTGTTCTCAGTGTCAAGGTGATTATAGACAGCTAGGCTGACGTCTGTTTAACTTCTAGTCTCTTGTGAAAGTCTGGAGTTTCTCATGTTATGATGGATATAATTAAATTAGTTATCATAAACATCAAGCAGTGATTGAACACACTTTGCGAACACAGCTGAGGACATATGGCTTGCCCTGGTCATCACGGTATGCTCCTACACCCAGGTTCATCTTCTTGGGGTTGGTGTCACGCTTGTAGGCCTCCGACACCCCCAGGATTGGGTCAGGGGGACCCATCTGCACCTCGGACCACCATGAGCTGAAACAGTCAGGGAGGGAGATTGAGACACGCAGTAGAATATATTTACTGTCTACTTCACAGAGTTGCATCAACTCGATTTACATCCAATTAAATTGTCTGATACCTTTGCACTAAGCAGGATTCAATCCAAATTAGGTGGTAATCCCCTAACAATCTCAACTTGAGATTGTGTGCTTTCACACACAAGAATACTCATACTGGATAGCTTGTGCATCAACAACCAACCACTAATGTTGCAAGGATGACATTCAGTAATCCTGCAATATTTCTGTCCATAGGCCTACATCATTTATTGCATCAATTAAACTTAATTTCATGGGCCTAGCTAGCTATCTTTCAGTGGGCAGCTAGTCATCAGCAGTACAGTAATGAAACATGCTTGACCAGTCATGTGGAGGGGGAACATCACTAGCTAGCATGGCCAGCCAACTAGCTTCTAGCTACATGGAATACAAGCTAGCTCGCTAGTGTTTTGTGACTTTAGCACAGTCATATATAAATATTTGTGTGTAGCAAGCTAACAAGGCAGGTTTCAACTCCTCCAAGTTCTTGCTCTTTTGCCAGCACTACTATAAATCATAAGAAAGAATATGAAGTATTGACAGCTAACCAGTTAACTTACCTGCCAAAACACATCACTGGATCCATTCCTAGTTACCTTGACAACGTTAGCTTTAAGTTTAGCCAGCCACTGAACAACCTTGGTTTGTTTGAGGTTGCAAATGCCAACCAGCCTCACAAGGCTAATGAAATCCGGTATCTAGCTACATCATTGACTAGCTAGATGCTTGGACTAACATAGTAACTACATGGACATGGCTGTGAAAACTAGCTAGCTGTTCATATGTCTTGAGTTGGCTAACTAGTAGCCTGCTCCCTTTGAGGGGAAAGTCAATGGGTCGTCTGCTAGCTAGCTAGAACTAGTATGCTTGCCAGCTCTACACTAGTTGTCTATCTTATGGTTGTCAGCCTAGCTAGCTAGCTGACTAGTCAATAAAACAACAATAAAGCAGTACTCTAAGAGCAGAATATGTACCTGGCACGAATAGAGAGGACACCCAATGGAGGGTGAACGCCGACGGTAGAAATGATCTTGCTAGATTTCAACAGGGCCATTGCTGATACTCGAGACGACACGCACGGGAAACTGTCTCCTGAGTTCTCCCACACTGGACTAGCTAGCTGAAGTCGCTGTCAAAAGCAGCACACCACCACATGCTCAGCAGCGCAGAACGGTCTCATAGACTAGACGTAATATAGTAAACGTAAATCCGGACATTCAAATGAGGATGATATATTGTATGTTACGTTTGGTATGGTTAAATAATACAATCCAGGTTTCCATCCAACCTTTTTATGCGAGTAAAGTAAATGTTGGATAAAAAATGTAATGACAGGCCTGATGGAAATAGAACATCTTTCGGTAAACTGTCGACAAAACAAAATATGCTAGATAATGTGGGATCTTTTTGTATCTGTAAAATTAATTATGCGAGAAATGTTGGTGGAAATGGTTTAATGCGCAGATATTGATATAATAACCATCATTTTAAAGTTAACTTGGAGTCATGTGATGACATGTTGTGGGGTCCTCCGACTACGACTCATTGGGAAAGCATGCATTATGCCATGTTCAAAACAACTGGGAAATCGGAACATGGAACTGGGAAATTGCCGACTTCCGACTTCAGCGCATTCAAAACAACTGGGAATAATAAAAAATAGCTCTGACTGGGAAAATGTGTTTTGAAAGGTCATCTTACTCGGAATCCATGGCGGGAACTCATGCCTCTTTCTGGAGCTCCGGCTTTCTGACCTGAAGATTACTGAGGTCATGATTCAACCTCATTTTTTTCAGAGTTCCCAGTTCCACCTCTGGCCTGCTAGCCCCCCTACCTCTACGGAAGCACAGTTCCCGCTCAGCCCAGTCAAAGCTATTCGCTGCTCTGGCACCCCAATGGTGGAACAAGCTCCCCCACGACGCCAGGACAGCGGAGTCACTGACCACCTTCCGGAGACACTTGAAACCCTACCTCTTTAAGGAATACCTGGAATAGTATAATAGTAATCATTCTACCCACCCTTTACTACCACTGTCTTTTGTCTAAACTAACACCTGACTTATTTCACCTGCTAGAACTGACTTGTTTAAAGAAATGTACTTATTGTGATCAAGATGTAGTTGTCCCTGATTGCACTGACTTTGCTCACAGCTGCTTGTTTGAAGAAGTGTACTTACTGTGATCAAGATGTGGTTGTCCCACTGGCTATCCTAAGTTGAATGCACCAATTTGTAAGTCGCTCTGGATAAGAGCGTCTGCTAAATGACTTAAATGTTAAATGTTGTTGAAAGCACCATTAGGCTACAGATGAAATAAATTACAGATGAACTTCACAGGTTGGTGAAAGTGCAAGGTGATTAGCTTGACGCTCCTTTCCAATAAATATTGAGGGTCTTATTCTGGTGGCATGATAATCGATGCTTGGCTGCTTTTTGAAAAATACAAATAATCGAACTCCTTTGTCCATCATTTGTTTTCTTTTTTCTTTTTTCTTTTACCTTTATTTAACTAGGCAAGTCAGTTATGAACAAATTCTTATTTACAATGACGGCCTACACCGGCCAAACCCGGACGACGCTGGGCCAATTGTGCTCATCATGTAGGCTATACGTGCGCTCTAGAGTCAATTTGATAGAAACACATCTCTGATGTGGACCTCTGTAGCTCAATTGGTAGAGCACGGCGCTTGTAACGCCAGGGTAGTGGGTTCGATCCCCGGGACCACCCATACGTAAAAATGTATGCACACATGACTGTAAGTCGCTTTGCATAAAAGTGTCTGCTAAATGGCATATTATTTATTTATTATTGGTGGGAAAATGCAAATTATGTTTTTATGCAGATTTTAGAATATTCGCATGAAAATCTGTTGCCATTTGGATGGAAACCTAGCTATAGAAGGTTACTTAATGCAAAAACAAAAGGACGGTGGTTGGTCGGAGTGGATGTGTGGGCGTATAATGCGAATGTCTAGCAACCCAAAGATTTAATGTTGGAATCTCATCACGGACAACCTTAGCTACTTTGCAACTACTTAGCATGTTAGCCAATCCTTCCCCTTACCCTAACCTTAACCCTTTTAGTTAACCCTAACGTTAAACCTTTAACCTAACTCCTAACCTTAACCCTAACCTTAAACCCTAACCCCTAGTCGTTCTTCAATTCCGGTCCTGGAGGGCCGAAACACTTCTGTTTTTTATTTCTACCGGGTAGTTAATTGCACTCACCTGGTGTCCAAGGTCTGAATTAGCCCCTGATTAGAAGGAGAGGATGAAAAACAGAGGTGTCTCGGCCCTCCAGGACCGGAATTGAAGAACCCTGTTTAAGTGCTAGCTAGCATTAGTGTTAGCCACCTAGCCACTTAGCTAACGTTAGCCACAACAATTTGTACATTCCTAACATATTGTACTTTGAGCAAATTTGTAACATATTGTATGAATTGCAATTCATAACATATGATACGAATTGAAATTCGGATACATATCGTAGGAATTGTAATTCCTAACATATCATACAAAATGGATGGTGGTCCTCTGTAGCTCAATTGGTAGAGCATGGCACTTGTAACGCCAGGGTAGTGGGTTCGATCCCCGGGACCACCCATACGAAAAAATGTATGCACACATGACTGTAAGTCACTTTGGATAAAAGCGTCTGCTAAATGGCATATTATATATATTATTATATGATGAATATCAACAAATTAATACATACCATACGAAATGTAACATATCATACTAAATGGAGTGTCTCGGATTTACTTGCAGAATAATACGAAATGCTCTGTTGAATGCATTCAGTTGTGCAACTGACAAGGTATCCCCTTTCCCTTCCCTTTCCTAAAGGAGTGCCTGGGATTTACGTACAGAATAATACGAAATGCTCTGAGACCACGTTGCAGAAGCAGCTACACCAAGAAGAGTTCAGTCTGAGTGCGCTGCAGGTTTGGGAGTAGCATGTAATATACAGTGTTGGCCACTTGGTGGCAAAACAACATCATAGTACTTTATTAAAAACAAGGTCTATGCTGAAGATTTTACAGTCAAATATATATATTTTATGCTATTGTATTTATTATTTATCAGCCCACCCAGTGTAATTATTTTAAATGTTGACATCTTAAATAAGTTGATAATCATCTCTTTATTGTCATTTATGAAGAAAAAAAAAATTATGCACTCACTAACTGTAAATCACTCTGGATAAGAGTGTCTGCTAAATGACAAATATATATATATATATATATATATATATATTTAATCTCACGTTCAAAGGTTGAGTAGGCTATACAGAGCACAACCCCAATGGAAATCAAGCACAGCCTTACCTGGAATGCTTTATTTGTTGGATGCATTCACTAAAAGTGTTATCATTGAAGAATACGTTTTCTACCAATGCATGCAAATTATTACTATATCTTACCATTTCTGGTCTTTGCACAGTTTCTTTTAGTGCTTTCTCACTCCATTTTACAAAAAAAAATCCTTATGTTCAAGAATATTAGATGCAATATTAGTGCATAGTTTATAACTGTGAAATAGTTGTGTGTGAATGTTTGTAAATGCAATAAATGTAGAGATTCCCTCAATTCAAGGGAGAGATGTTTGGAGGGCTTTTTCTATGCCTGAGCGATGACATTGCAGATTAAATTTGCACGCAGGAAGGCATGCAAATTGCAGGCAGGAAGTGCATTCTGCTGTGTATAGCAAAAGTGAGGTGTGAGTTAGGGTTGGTGTAGCAAGAGTAATTGTACCTCTAGCTCTGAGAAGCCTTGCCCTTTCTGCTCCCATCCTGTATTTCTAGCTCACCATCACTCTCACAAGTTCCTCTCCTGTCTGCTTCCTTATTAGTCTGCTTCTCCTCACTGATTGAAACAGCAAGTCTGTTGTAAAGGCTTGTAGGTCCCCTAGGACATGGAAGCCATTTGAATATTGTCATCTATGATCTGTGTGGAAAATGAAATGGATCTTAGTAGGAATAGCCATGGAAAAGCCCTGATACCACAATTAATGCGTAAACATAATCTATGTCGAGAGAATATACTAAATGTGTTGCCAGTGGTAGGCTATTCCTTTTATATAATTGGATTTCCTTATTGCCTTTGTTGGGCACCATTATTATTTGAGATATTGTATCTCACCACACAAGCAGCTACATATATAGGATCTTAATTTAAACTATATTGTCACAGCAAAACGATCCTGCTGCAACAGGATTTGAACGTTTAGACTAGGGGTATTCAACTCTTATCCTAGGAAGTCCGGAGCCTGCTGGTTTTCTGTTCGACCTGATAATTAATTGTACCCACCTGGTGTCCCAGGTCTAAATCAGTCCCAGAGTTGAGTTTGAGGGGTTTAGACCATAACGTTTCTTGATTGTGGTTAGGCTATTAGCTGGCCAAAAGTAGGCTACATCAAAAGTGCAATACTGTTAATATAACCGTGTGCTAGTGTGGGTTTTCATTGAATTTATGTAAATCATGAAGCTCATCTGCATTTTCTGCGCTGCAGGAAAATTCTCAGCAACAAAAGAGTGATCAAATTAAGATCCTACATTTATATGTGTTGGGATGGCCTAAGTCATCCCAACATATTACATTACATTGCATTATGGGTATGTGGGAGGATAGTCCCTTGGGACAAAGACTGGGTTTGCCTATGTGCAATCATCAAAGCTACAGTGGGATGCTTAGAAATGTCTCGGTCATGTGTTGATGGCATGTTGGCAGTGTAATTTACAGTTTGTTAGTTGTCATGTGTCGGTTCAGTGATTAAATGGGCCAGGCCTCAATCTTTTCCCGATATGATTCTGTTTTAATTGGGCATTGCCTGCATCTGTATACCAGCTGGCCTCTTCCCTCTACGTCTGTAAATATTTCATAATTTTAAACCATCATGAAATGTAGCATTTCAAACTTGTTTGTATTTCTCACAGGGAGGACCATCTACAATGATGTGCAAATATATATAATTATCTAGTGTATTGTACAGTGAAAAATATAATTTGTAAACAGGCTCAGTATTTATGTCTTAGTCACCAGTGTGTATTGGTGTTTGTGTGTATGTTACTCAGTGGATGTCCTGTAGGGAATTTAGGCAGGGACATCCATTCAATCACTATTTAATTCTCAATAGCTATATTTAAAGAGTACATTAATAAAACACCAGGGTCCCTTTCATAAAGTATACTGTATGCATACATAATGAGAGTCATCTTCACATCTAGTCATAATATCAGTTATTAGTTAAGATCAGGATGGTGATTGCAGATTGCAATTAAGCTAAAACATGTCTATTTGAATCTTAATGATATTTTAACCAAATAGCATACAATAATTTTGTATCATAAATTGTTACTTTTGGTCTGACTAAATATAGACTAATAAGTCTTTGTAAATAAGCATTTTATAGAAATTACTACAACATAACACAAATGCTAATCTCTGTGCATTGCACGTTGGATGAAAAAGCTAGTATTTTCTTGCAAAACCTGCCTTTCAATTAAACATTTAAATAGTAATGATTCATTGATAGGTATTTCTACAAGCTCGGCTGTGCGAGAGGGAAGTTTGACTGCTGAATTATTGAGCTCGTTTTAAAAGCATCTGCACACAATTAGAGGGGATTTTACTATAAATATGTCCTGCTTTAGAAATACCCATATAGGGAATTTAGAACATGATGGAGGTATTCTCTTATAATGACAGAAATGTGTGAGTGTTTCTGTGTGTGGTCGCAGTAACATTCACTGTTGTCTGGTTTGACAGTAGGACTCTCCTTATTTTCTCCCCACTCTCCCCCCACTTCATCTTTAGAAATACTCATTGATACTAACATAAAACAGAGGGCATCTCAGTGTTTTTCCAAGACACTTTTTTCAAAGCAGCGTGTCAATATTCAATTGAATGGATTATAAATTCTAAGCACAAGGAGGGGTAGCGAGCGAGGTGAAAACAATGTGAAAGTCAAAATGAGACGAACCTTAATCGTAAGATATCTTTAATTAATGCTTTCGATAACATCCTCATTATAACAGTATAAGCCAGAAAACCCAACATCAAAAATCTAAATGTAACATGATAATAATTTAACGATGAAACACCAGATCAAACAGAGAAAAAAGAGAGGAGAAAAGTCAAACCAAGCATTCAGAATAAATAATCGTATCATATTCATTTTCATTCCTCTCCTGTTCACATTGCAATCATAGTTATCATAAGTACCTTATTATCTTTATTCATTTTGTTAAATGTAGAGTTTAGGGATTGAGCAGAGAGCAACGTAAGAGCTGGGTCAGTCTGCAGGGACGAGTGGGGACAGGGGTCATGAGGGAGAGCTGGTTTGTGCTTCTCAGTTGCACATTCATGAAGGGAGTGACCGGCACATGCACCAGGTTACAGTCGTCAAGCAGCTGGAGGTGGGTGTGATCTGAGGATGGGCAGATAGGGTCATGGAGGTCAAAAAACAGACAGCGATGGTTGTCAGGGTTCACAGCATGGGCTCCCTGCAGAGCACAATCTCCAGCTCGGAGCGGTACAACTTCCCCCCGTCCGACAGGGCCATGATGCTCTTCTTGTAGCCAATCAGGTTTTTGGTGTCCACCTCCTGAGAGAAGATTAGAGAAGACAAGACACCATTATCTATACTGGTGCTTCTGTAATGACGCATTATAATGAGAAATTCAGCATTATGTGGGAATGAGAGCTGAGCTCCAAACCTTCCATATTATCTCACCTTTTTGTTCTTTTCATAGAGGTCACGCAACAGAGCATCGAGCTCCTGCTCATCAATGTAGCCGTTTCCATCCTGGAAGAACGAGGGGTAAAATGTATCATATACCTGCATTAGAACCGCTCTCAATTCCCTACTTTCAATGGAAGTTTAAAAAGGTACACTTCCCTTAACATTTCACTCATGAATAAAGAATATGTACTGTATATGGCTGCTCGAGAGCAAAAGCTTTAAATGTATAAGGAGACATTGTGGAGGGGAAGGGCCATGGTACTGAAGTTACAGTGGTGGGGTTTTTCTTTGGGAAGCCGGGAAACAGACTGTCTTGGTTGCGTGCTGTCAAACATTTTGTGTTTTTCAAAGCTCTGCACATTTTAATTTTGGCACAGTGAGCCATGTTAGTGTTTGGTTGACCTGGCGTGCTTCTTGCTCTCGCCATTCTTTTTTACCCATAATTCCATAGCAGTGACAGCAGCTGCCAGTGATTCAGCTGCAGGGTGGAGGTTGAAACAAATTGTGACGGCCCTGAATATTTCTGAACCGTCTCAAGGCTTCTCCTTCTAATAGGGCGCTTCCCCTTTAATTCCCCATTAAATAGCCAGCATCAGCTGCGCAAAAGAGAAGTTGTGATTGAGACCTGAAGGAGGATGTGTACGACCTTCAGTTCATGAAGCTTCGCCATGACGTTTGTTTGGTTGCCTTACAGTGTGTTTTGTGGCCTTAAAGCGAGTTTACCCAGGATTGGATCCACTCTGTGCGTCTGTGGACTACAACTCTCCGTTGGTTTTCGTGGCCTTTCCTCCGCTGGAGGGCTGTTGGCGGATTGTCTGACTGACCGACTGACTACAACTTTTTGTATACGGTATTTCCTTTGTTTGGGGGTGATGTATACTGTGATTTATGTAGTTGTGAGGACGTATTATTCTTTGGGTAGTCTTTGATACGCTTTATAGTTGTGTTACCAAATAAGTGTTATTTTGAGGGTATGAATATACTGGGTTTATGCTACGGACAAGCGTTGCGGGACTAAGGGCACTTGAGCCACGGAACTTATTTACCGGGCTGGACTCTTTTTATGCCCGAGGTACAGGACATTTCTAAATGAACATAAGTGCATTGATTTGTTATATTGTTGTGTGTGGGTGGGTGTGATCATTTATGTTGTGAATACAACCAAGCAAAAGAATACACTTGTTTGAAGTTCTTTCCAAGGTTTTAGGGGTTTATGAAAAGTATATTTCCATCTTGACTTTTACATAAGTCCTTTGTATTGGTGTGACTTGACGGACCAGATGGGACTCATTCCCTCCCGAACTAAAAGGAGAAACCTATGCTTTCTCTGGTAGGCACTACCTACCTGGCACCCCTATAAATGCCTCAAGTCAAAACCGTTACATAAAAAATGCCTAATGGATAAGGCACTGGCCTCCTAAGCCAGAGATTGTGGGTTCAAGTCCCATCTGGGGTGCCATTTTTTATGTAACGGTTTTGACTTGAGGCATTTATAGGGGTGCCAGGTAGGTAGTGCCTACCAGAGAAAGCATAGGTTTCTCCTTTTAGTTCGGGAGGGAATGAGTCCCATCTGGTCCGTCAAGTCACACCAATACAAAGGACTTATGTAAAAGTCAAGATGGAAATATACTTTTCATAAACCCCTAAAACCTTGGAAAGAACTTCAAACAAGTGTATTCTTTTGCTTGGTTGTATTCACAACATAAATGATCACACCCACCCACACACAACAATATAACAAATCAATGCACTTATGTTCATTTAGAAATGTCCTGTACCTCGGGCATAAAAAGAGTCCAGCCCGGTAAATAAGTTCCGTGGCTCAAGTGCCCTTAGTCCCGCAACGCTTGTCCGTAGCATAAACCCAGTATATTCATACCCTCAAAATAACACTTATTTGGTAACACAACTATAAAGCGTATCAAAGACTACCCAAAGAATAATACGTCCTCACAACTACATAAATCACAGTATACATCACCCCCAAACAAAGGAAATACCGTATACAAAAAGTTGTAGTCAGTCGGTCAGTCAGACAATCCGCCAACAGCCCTCCAGCGGAGGAAAGGCCACGAAAACCAACGGAGAGTTGTAGTCCACAGACGCACAGAGTGGATCCAATCCTGGGTAAACTCGCTTTAAGGCCACAAAACACACTGTAAGGCAACCAAACAAACGTCATGGCGAAGCTTCATGAACTGAAGGTCGTACACATCCTCCTTCAGGTCTCAATCACAACTTCTCTTTTGCGCAGCTGATGCTGGCTATTTAATGGGGAATTAAAGGGGAAGCGCCCTATTAGAAGGAGAAGCCTTGAGACGGTTCAGAAATATTCAGGGCCGTCACAAAATGATGAAATAATTATGCACGTAAATGTTAGCGTTTGACACACATCATGTGTACATGGACTGCGTTTCATTTATAATTGAGCGTCTGCCCCAGTCCTCTCAGTAAGCATCTAGTCCAGACATAGGCACGCAAAAAGCCCTCTGCTCTGCTGAAGCATTTCAATTTTACTCTCCATCATCACTTTCATTTCAGTCCACATTTGAAAACTTTTGGCATATTAAGTCACAGGATCTAACCTGTCACTCAGGGAGTCTGTGAGCTGTTTGGAGCCATGCTGATGTAATAGTTGTCTTATGGATCACTAGTTTAATATTGTGAAACATGTAACCCTCAATAGAGAATAATGCATGCTCTTGTTGGAAAATGTAGCAACATACTGTAATTCAATAGAGAACAATGTATATGTAATGAAACATGTATCACAATACTTGTAGCCTACAAAGCAATGGCGACAAGAAATTGGCAGAGATACAGTGCAGGTTTTGCATTAGGCCAAATCAAATAGTCCATATATCACAATCAATTCTAGGGGTATCAACAACACACGAGTGATACGAGTTGGCATTTTACTTGCTTGAAGTCAGATCCCTATCCACTACATGCCAAGCCAGATGTAATGCTATTATCCCAAGACATTACTCCATTCCACAACAGCAGTTTGTTCCTGAAATCTGGCATCACCTGTCCACAAATGATGGAATTTATGTTCAACCAACACTCAAACAAGAACAGCAGGTGTACCAATAAAGCTTATTTACCTACCCGGATGAGCGGAAAGACCACTGTTTTGCATAGACATGGCTTTCACGACAGAGAGTGAAACAACTCAGTCATCCACCAAACCTGATTGAAAGTTAAATACTATACATACAGCATTTAGCAAACTGTATCCTTTTAGAATATCCAATCACATATCATGAATGTACCTTGTCGTAGAATGCAAAGATAGCATTGAACTGCTCAGAGGTCAGTTTGATACCCTGTAAAACACATTTAGAAATAAAAACATATTATAACAGAACAGCATGATGTTACTGAGTTAGATTGCAAATTAATGATTGTGTTCTGAAATATCAAATGATCATGTTGCCGGTATTTTTATCAGCCCAAATTACTGTGGAAAAGGCATTTGTTTGAAGGGACTATCAGTTCCTCTTGCACACTCCTCACCTGGAACTTCAGTAAGAAATTTTCCTGAACTGGGAGAAGCCTTAAAAGAGAAGAACAGAGAACAGAGAATCATTTCCATGAAACACTTGTTAGGAGTGTCGGATGCTGAAGGCAAACATGAAATAGAAACATTTCTTCTCAGTTACTGACAGTCACCTCGCCATTTCTGACAGGCCCAGCTTCCCATCTCCGTTTAGATCAAACATCTTGAGCTACAGAGAGAGAGCGAGAGAGAGAGAGAGAGAGAGACAAGGAGGGAGGGAGGTCGAGATAGAGACATTAAAGCAAGGGGCCTTCACCAGTTGTGACAACAAGTTTGGCTCTTCATACATTTTATTTTATTTACAATGCTACTCTGTCGTCAGTCCGTTGTACATGGAAGTTGCTACTCAACACTAAGACTGAACAATACAGATTGGTTTTCTCCCCAGAGTAATTCAGGTCAAGCTTTAGGCCTTGAAGTTCAAACAGATGTTTGAACATCTGCTGTTGGAACACACAACCCGTAGGACATCGTGAGTCCCACTCCCAACGACTCAACCACATGGCAGCCACCAGCATGACGGGACAAGGGATACATAGCTCCCCTGTTCACATATAAAGTATATTACATAATACCTACAGACAATGACTACAGATGTAGGATCTTAATTTGATCACTCTTTTGTTGCTGATACATTGTAGAATAATAGTGAAGACATCAAAACTATGAAATAACACATATGGAATCATGTAGTAACCAAAAAAGTGTTTACCAAATCAAAATATATTTTATATTTGAGATTCTTTAAATAGGCACCCTTTTCCTTGATGCACGCTTTGCACACTCTTGGCATTCTCTCAACCAGCTTCATGAGGAATGCTTTTCCAACAGTCTTGAAGGAGTTCCCACATATGCTGAGCACTTGTTGGCTGCTTTTCCTTCACTCTGCCGTCCGACTCATCCCAAACCATCTCAATTTGGTTGAGGTCGGGTGATTGTGGAGGCCAGGTCATCTGATGCAGCACTCCATCACTCTCCTTCTTGGTAAAATAGCCCTTACACAGCCTGGAGGTGTGTTGGGTCATTGCCCTGTTGAAAAACAAATGATAGTCCCACTAAGCCCAAACCAGATGGGATGGCGTAACGCTGCAGAATGCTGTGGTAGCCATGCTGGTCAAGTGTGCCTTGAATTCTAAATAAATCACATACAGTGTCACCAGCAAAGCACCACCACACCCTAACATCTTCTCCTCCATGCTTTACGGTGGGAAATACACATGCGGAGATAATCCGTTCACCAACACCGCGTCTCACAAAGACACGGCGGTTGGAACCAAAAATCTCAAATTTGGACTCCAGACCAAAGGACAGATTTCCACCGGTCTAATGTCCATTGCTCGTGTTTCTTGGCCCAAGCAAGTCTCTTCTTCTTATTGGTGTCCTTTAGTAGTGGTTTCTTTGCAACAATTCGACCATGAAGGCCTGATTCACACAATCTCCTCTGAACAGTTGATGTTGAGATGTGTCTGTTACTTGAAATCTGTGAAGCATTTATTTGGGCTGCAATTTCTGAGGCTGGTAACTTATCCTCTGCAGCAGAGGTAACTCTGGGTAACTCTGGGTCTTCCATTCCTGTGGCGGTCCTCATGAGAGCCAGTTTCATCATAGCGCTTGTTGGTTTTTGCGAGTGCACTTGAAGAAACTTTCAAAGTTCTTGAAATGTTCCATATTGACTGACCTTCATGTCCTAAAGTAATGATGGACTGTTCTTTCTCTTTGCTTATTTGAGCTGTTCTTGCCATAATAAGGACTTGGTATTTTACCAAATAGGGCTATCTTCTGTATACACCCCCTACCTTGTCACAACACAACTGATTGGCTCACACACACTAAATTCCACAAATTAACTATTAAGAAGGCACACCTGTTAATTGAAATGCATTCCAGGTGACAACCTCATGAAGCTGGTTGAGAGAATGCCAAGAGTGTGCAAAGCTGTCATCAAGGCAAAAGGTGGCTACTTTGAAGAATCTCAAATCTAAAATATATTTTGATTTGTTTAACACTTTTTTTGTCACTACATGATTCCATATGTGTTATTTCATAGTTTTGACGTCTTCGCTATTATTCTACAATGTAGAAAATAGTAAAAATAGAGAAAAACCCTTGAATGAGTAGGTGTTCTAAAACTTTTGACCGGTAGTGTATATTAGTTATCTTAAATAGATTTTCTGTATCCTGTGGTGCAGGATGTGGTGGTGTTGGTTATTTCTCAGATAAGTTTGTGAGGAAGGCATAGTAGTTTGGGGCTGGGGGTACTGCAATTTTTCTGCTGACTGTGGGGATGCTGATTTTTTTGTTGTTGCCCGCACTGAAGACGTCTATATCGGTCCACCAATACATGACTAGTAATGGCCCAGCGCAGAACTATTTTTGTGGAAAAGTGTGTTTACCAGCATTTGTAACTTGAGTCTGATAATTATCTGTACAAAACAGTTAATCTGATAATACTTGATATATGTTTTCCAGTTTCTTGAAATACTTTGCTAATGCAACTTTTATCTACAGTGGGAAAAAAAAAGTATTTAGTCAGCCACCAATTGTGCAAGTTCTCCCACATAAAAAGATGAGAGAGGCCTGTAATTTTCATCATAGGTACACGTCAACTATGACAGACAAATTGAGAAAAGAAAATCCAGAAAATCACATTGTAGGATTTTTAATGAATTTATTTGCAAATTATGGTGGAAAATAAGTATTTGGTCACCTACAAACAAGCATGATTTCTGGCTCTCACAGACCTGTAACTTCTTCTTTAAGAGGCTCCTCTGTCCTCCACTCGTTACCTGTATTAATGGCACCTGTTTGAACTTGTTATCAGTATAAAAGACACCTGTCCACAACCTCAAACAGTCACACTCCAAACTCCACTATGGCCAAGACCAAAGAGCTGTCAAAGGACACCAGAAACAAAATTGTAGACCTGCACCAGGCTGGGAAGACTGAATCTGCAATAGGTAAGCAGCTTGGTTTGAAGAAATCAACTGTGGGAGCAATTATTAGGAAATGGAAGACATACAAGACCACTGATAATCTCCCTCGATCTGGGGCACCACGCAAGATCTCACCCCGTGGGGTCAAAATGATCACAAGAACGGTGAGCAAAAATCCCAGAACCACACGGGGGGACCTAGTGAATGACCTGCAGAGAGCTGGGACCAAAGTAACAAAGCCTAACATCAGTAACACACTACGCCGCCAGGGATTCAAATCCTGCAGTGCCAGATGTGTCCCCCTGCTTAAGCCAGTACATGTCCAGGCCCGTCTGAAGTTTGCTAGAGTGCATTTGGATGATCCAGAAGAGGATTGGGAGAATGTCATATGGTCAGATGAAACCAAAATAGAACTTTTTGGTAAAAACTCAACTCGTCGTGTTTGGAGGACAAAGAATGCTGAGTTACATCCAAAGAACACCATACCTACTGTGAAGCATGGGGTTGGAAACATCATGCTTTGGGGCTGTTTTTCTACAAAGGGACCAGGATGACTGATCCGTGTAAAGGAAAGAATGAATGGGGCCATGTATCGTGAGATTTTGAGTGAAAACCTCCTTCCATCAGCAAGGGCATTGAAGATGAAACGTGGCTGGGTCTTTCAGCATGACAATGATCCCAAACACACCGCCCGGGCAACGAAGGAGTGGCTTCGTAAGAAGCATTTCAAGGTCCTGGAGTGGCCTAGCCAGTCTCCAGATCTCAACCCCATAGAAAATCTTTGGAGGGAGTTGAAAGTCTGTGTTGCCCAGCGACAGCCCCAAAACATCACTGCTCTAGAGGAGATCTGCATGGAGGAATGGGCCAAAATACCAGCAACAGTGTGTGAAAACCTTGTGAAGACTTACAGAAAACGTTTGACCTGTGTCATTGCCAACAAAGGGTATATAACAAAGTATTGAGAAACTTTTGTTATTGACCAAATACTTATTTTCCACCATAATTTGCAAATAAATTCATAAAAAATCCTACAATGTGATTTTCTGGAGAAAATAAATCTCATTTTGTCTGTCATAGTTGACGTGTACCTATGGTGAAAATTACAGGCCTCTCTCATCTTTTTAAGTGGGAGAACTTGCACAATTGGTGGCTGACTAAATACTTTTTTTCCCCACTGTATGTGAAAACTGAAATGGTATTTTCATTCCTTTTCAGTAGACACTCTTATCCAGAGCTTATCCTTACAGTAGTGAGTGGATACATTGTCATACTGTTTTGCACTGGTCCCTCGTGGGAATCGAACCCACAACCCTAGCATTGCAAGCACCATGCTCTACTAACTGAGCCACACCATCACATCACATCGTCACAAACCATTTGATGTCTCAATGTACTCAATTACTGTATTGTGGATTGTTTTTCTTCATGGTGATGGAAAGTCTACAGGTACAAACCTAGATGACCAGTCTATGTACAATACAGTAATGTACATTTACATTAAGTGGTTTGTAAGGAGGGTAAATTAATGCTGCACAAAAAGTGGTTGTTTTCCATGTTATTTCATCAAGAAAAATATTTTATTTGATGTGGATGTGTTGTGTCTTTGCCCATAACTTTGTACCTTTTGATGTAAATGTTTGAGGACGGGTTTTGTTCTTTCTGGATTCCATTAGAATGACAATCGCAGATAAAGGGACAGGGCAACAACTCTTACAATTCCAACTATTGAATCCTGCAAGATACTGTTCTTAATTATACAACTACCTTTTTTGCCAAAGCAGAGATGCTGAAAATGTTTTATGCCTGTGCTACAGCCATCTATATTGGTCCGCTAATACTAGTACAGGCCCAGTGCACTACTTTTGTAAATAAATATACACATTTATTGTTTTTATTTCCCCCCGATTTTTCAGTGGGTGCTGCAGCACCCTCAGCACCCCTTCTTCCCACGGCTATGGAGGAAGGGTTTGGATACGGTACAGGAAGGGATTAATTTAGACTGAAAATACTCACTATTGTCTGTGTGTACTCTTGAAGCTTCTGGTCATCGTAGTGTCTGTTGGCTTTCTTCAGCAGGTCTGAGAGGAATCCCTGTGGAGGTGAGAAAAGTGAGATAACTATAATCCCCTAATAGGTTAAAAGAAATCCTATGATCTTAGAGAGTCTGGCTCGTCTATACGTTAGCGCTGAGGCCCCAGTTATTGCTTTCCGTCAGTCATGTAAGTATTGGCTTACGCAGAATTGGAAGTGTCACATACATTCTCAGATCCTTCATTGACAGAAAGGGCCATTCTATCTATCACTACCAGCCTGTGTTACAGTAACATCCTGCAGTTCCCTGCAGATAAGACAGCAGAAAACGCTTTAGAAATTAATCAGTGTCAGACAACAGCATAATGGGTGGTATTACAAGTCAAGATTTGTATAGTGTCTTTGTCTGACAGCCGTTGAGACAAGAGAAATATGCATAGTCCCCATTTGCCTCACTGCATCAACACAACAACTATACCTGCAAGTTTTTGGGTGTTGGTTTCTAAAGCTTCATTTACATTGTAAAGTATAATAATGCATCTCCTTGTCATCTTATAGCTGGATCGAATGACAAGGAGAGTTAGGAGACAACTATTGACTATGGTTGGAGCTCTACCATAGTTTGTAAAAGGACATACTGTAAACATGTCTTACATTGATGGTTAACAAGTGAGGAACCATACCTTTAGTTCATTAGCTTCAATGTACCCACTGCGATCTGTATCGTATCGTCGCCAAGCCTACATATGCAAACACAAAGTCACACACATTAGAAATGAAAAAATAGACACACAGCCAATCACTTGCTCCGACAGTAGTACCAATCACATTGTAAATGAGCCATCTCATTCCTCCACTCACAATCAAACACCCCCATATCCAATGTCCTTTAACACCAAAGCAATCGAAATGGATTGTATTAATGGGATTGCATGTGACGTTCATGAATTACTCTCTGGAGGGACAGAGATCACTTTCAAAAGGAGAGGAAGAGCACCAAAAAATCCTATCCAATTTATGTGGCTGGTAATTGTTAGTTGTTTCTTCCCGTTATCACACTTGGGTCTTCATTATACTTTCCAGATTTCTTTCCTATCTCCCACACATTGTGAGAGGGCAAGGAGAGAGAAATGCTTTTTAATTAATGTTTTAATCTAGCAGCTGTCCCTGTTTCCAGAAAGGGCTCTTATCAAAGATAGATGCCCTCCCTCTCCAGGTCTGTTGAGAATTACAGCCTCACATCTATAATATATGATTCTGAAAATAGAAGTTTGTACTTCCTCATTCGATCCCTTTAAAAGTCTTTGTTACCACACCGGGTGATTAAAAAGCCTAATTTTCTCTTTCTCATTTAATTCTTCCTGCCCTTGACATAATGGGAGTGCAGTGGGTGACTGGATGGTCCCTCCTGGTATCACTGATAATCAAACTCTTTCCATTTACACTGTATGAGAACTAATCTGACAGAGCTGTCAAGAGTCTCTGGAATTTCATCTCCTCTACCAGTGAGTGATTGTGGCTTTTCTCTTGGCAGAGGACACATGACAGAGAAAAATAACCTTTGAGTATGACTTTTTTTTACATTGAAACTTTTCTCTCAAATGTTGTATTACTTTCAGTGCAATTCCCTAATATGATTTGGGTATGATTTGGGCTGGGCAACGATTCCAAAATGTGGATTGTTGTGGGTTTTAATTGCTTTGTTTAATTGTTGTTTTTCATTCTGCTTTATTACAGTAGCTCTGTATTTCCAATCCCACCAACACACATTATAAATAGCCTGTACGAGTCTTCACATTCTTACTCAAACCAAATTAATACTCAAACCATCTATTTTCACCACTTACCGCCATGAACTCAGAACTGGATCCCACAAACTCTCTGAAGCAAAGCAGGAAGTTCTCCTCTGTGGGCAAAATCTGAGCCAGCTGGAGAAGAAGAGAAAGAGAGAGATTAATTAGGGAGAAAAAAGATAACCTTTGCTTCTCTGTGTTTGATAGTGTGAAAAATACTGTGTTTGATAATAGAATCTTATCTCTTAGACGAAGATTACTTGAATGAAGCATAGATCATCGATTCATCAACAGTTTCAGAACACATCTACCATAATAGTATCTGATTATTTCTGCATTGATTTGCAAACTGCCCGAGATCACTGGTAATACTTATCATTAGCATAATCAAATCCTCATTGATCTGAAAAGGAAAAAATGTCAGCTCACCTCTGACATCTCAATTCTCCCATCTGCGTTCTTGTCAAACTTCTGCATAAACTCCTTCATCTTCTCTCTGAAAGTGGAGTTTGATGGGTCCTATAACACATGCACAAATACACGCAAATATCAGTTTGTCATGACACAAACATCAGTAAAGATCTTTTTTTTTTACGCAAACCATCCTCTCGTGTTATAGGACTGTGGTCACGCACATTGTTGTGACAGGGCTAGTTTTAGATTTTAGTGGTTGCTACACTGGGCAGACTGAGAGATTGTTTCTCTAAAACAGACAAGCGTCTTCTCCCCAGCTAAAGGGCTCGTCATCTTCTAGTCACAGACTTTATGCAGCTACTGGGAGATTATATGTAACATGATTACTGAAGCTCTCTGATTCCTGTGTTGTACACACACGAGATGTGGTGACAGAAAGATTATTGCACTGACTCCTCCCAAGAAAGAGAATATTTTCCATCTGTGGGAGCACTCTCTGGAGAACTTTGTTGTTTTGATGTTGCTTAAATAATTAATTAGCTCTTGGTTGGACAAATCAGTTGCCTTTTAATTACTGCCAGTCCTTGACAGACTGGACAGCTTATAGACATGAGTTCATATCTCTAGGGCTTGTTCCGGAACTCAATGAACAACCTACCAGAATAGGCTACAACCTTGATTAGTGAGGAGATGCCAACATATGACTGTTGGATTAAAGAACAAACAAAATACTACCTTTACTATTGTCAGTAAAAGTTGGAAAGTTGGTGGTAGAATTACTTTGTACCTTTGCCTGTTAGCCTGTTAAAGTAAACTCACATTACACCAATTACTATGTCCAATATTTGTTTGCATGAGGTTGTACTCCTTTGGTTTCACCTAATAAAATCCAAAACATATTTACTGTTCTAATTAAAGACCAGAGCTATGACACTTTCCTTGAAAGTGGTCAGTCAATCCAGCATTACAATATATCTGCTGTAGCATACAGTAATATATCCCTATAGAAATAATGTTACAAAATGGTATTGGATTCAGTACTGTAAAAAATTCCACATAGACCCATCAGAGACAGAATAGGCCTGAGACGTACAGTACGTAATGTATGTGGGCAGTAGTTATGTAAACAGAGATACTGTATAAACATTGCTATGACATGTTTGGTTGAATTGAGCCCTTAGTCAAGGCCCAGGGATCATTCCCTTACCACTCCGGTCCCTCTCCGTGCAATCTCCAACTCCCTGAAGAAGTTCTCCAGTTCCTTGCCCTCAATGTAGCCATTGCCTGCAGCAGAGAAAACAGGGATTTGACAAATCAGCCCAATACTATCTATCATACAGGCAGTGACTGTGAAGCATCAAAGATCCCTGTGTAATGTATAGTAGTACCACTGTGAAAGTGTGATTATTGAGAAGTGAGATTGTACAAATTTGATAGCAAATTAGGCCAATGCGTCCCTGTTTTACAGTAATACTCCAGAACTACGTTTATCTTGCTTGCTTGCTGGCTGATTGGATGGCTGGCTCAATGACTGACATAATAACTAACTAATTTGTTGTCCAGATGGTTAGCATGCTGCGAGGCTGGCTCTGGCTGACGTGATTTGTGAGCTTGCACTCAAACGTTGGAAACTGCTTAATTAAATCCCTTGAAGGGGTCTCCCAGTCTTGAAATGCACTTTTACTCTCTCTTTCTCTCTCTCCATCTCCCTCTAATTGAGGCCTCCAAAGCCTTTTAAGTCCAGTTATTTGAAAAGACAATGGGGAAATCTCTGCCTGGCAAGACAGTGTACGAAATCAATGCAGGAATCCCAACTTCAAATAAATGTGCCTAGTTGCACCCTTGCCAGGATTATTTGGATGTCTATAAATAATGGTGAAGGAAATGATAGAGCTTTAAACTTAATGTTGCTAAATCGAGGGAGACCAGTGAGATGGTTATTATAGTGGCTTTTGACAAATATCAACTATGCCTTTCCTATCAGCTTCACGATTGAAATGTCTTGCAAATGCCTGTGTATTAATTTGCCTGTGGATCCTAGTGACATTTGCATGGACCTGAGTACCGAAAGTCTCGGGGAAGCACTCAGTTTTATATTTACCAGAAGAACAAGTACATATCATTATGAACAAAGCAAATTTGCATTTGATTACACCGAAAACATAAATTGCTCTATATAGAGCGGATATGATTCTAGCAATATCATCATAATGCACTTTTATTTTATTGTCTCTTTATTTTATTGACATGTATACATTTTTATAATAGCTTTACATATGATTTACTTTATCATTACATGTTAGTATGACCAATATGATCCAGTGGTTTTATATGCTCATTGTCTATGAACTTTGTATGAACTTTGTATATGTGTTAATAAATCAAAAACAAGCTGAAGGTGTGCATGTATATTGCAGAGTATGCTGTGTATGATGATGTGATATACACTAGACCAAAGTAGCCTATGTACTGCAGTGTCCCATTATTTTTCAATTATCTACTCATTTACTTTTTTTCTATTTCATTGGAGAATTGCCAATAACAAATGAATACTGCTTATTTATCTAAACAGTTGTGGCAATAGAATGTGGCCAATTGTATTGGTTTATGTCCCACTTTGTGGTCACAGACATTAGCCATCTCCAACATTATCTGATATAAGCTACCTATTTATTCTTAAATGTAAAGGTATCCCTCAGAAGGTGACAACTTAAGAGTAGCATACTGTCATGCAATCAGAATGCATTATGTGACTTGTTTTAGGCACATTTGACCTCTATGGCCTATCATCTCATTATGATCTTGAGTTAGCCTATACCATCATTCATTTTGAGTCATTTTTGACACATAATTATATTCTAGGCTTATGTGAATAACAAATGCTGATAAACATTGGCAATCATTATGGTGTTATTATTATTTATCTCATACCCCAAAAAAGTGATGAACTGTTAAAACAAATACCAGCTGGTTGATAACCTCTTCCCCACAAGACAGGGAAAAGCTACAATACTATAATACATTATCAGGGGACCACAACATGATCATGCCAAGTCTTGCAATGCATTATAACTGCATCATAAATTATGCATTACTGAAATGTCAATATCAGACAGACATTAGTCAGGTATCTCTCTGTGTGTTCTCTATAGCAAAATGTTCAGCAACATTGTTGATGGGTCTAATCATTTCAGCACGATGGACAGCGGCAAAATCGGTAGGCCAATCGCATGATCTGATGTTCTGGCCTAGCCTACTTTGGTTATGCCTACTTGCACCAGACCAGCAATTCACTGAGTACCATGTCCATATCCCTATGTCATGTTGTCTTTGCAGAAAATGCTCAATCCATAGAGACAGCACAGTATAGGCCCTATAGGGTGGACCAACAGCACCAATCCCTGTTTGTGCTCAGATAACTAAACACCCAGAGGGAACTAGTACTGTAATCCGAGAGACTATTCACGCTTCGAGGATTATCATTCCGCTTCAACAAATGGCCGGGACGGAATGTGCAGTAACACAATCAATAGGGGAAACCGATTATGCCCAGAGGATGCCCAGGAATAATACGCTTGGAGGGGCGTGGGCTCGTGCGCTTGAATTGAGCCGACAACTCATCTGTATAGTGAATTACATTAATATAATACTGTTGGATTAAACTTTTATTTGTGACGAACTGTAGGAATTCGGTTGACAAACTCCCTCCTCTTTTCATACATTTAGTTACATTTTAGACGCACCTTTTTAAAGCAGGATTCCAACCATCAGTTATGATGCCTATGGAAACTCTTGAGTCTGTCCTGACATCATCCAGATGTTTTTCTTTTGTTTAATCGTGCTTTATAAAACAATACAGTGGAATAATATGATTACTGTATTTAAGCATTCAGTTAAGTTAGTGAAGCCAAATTTTTTAGAGGCCTATACAAAAAAGGCACTTATTGTGTGGTTAGGCTACATACACGTTTTAAATGGACGACAGTGTGGCACACGCCCATCCCTCCTTTAGCGCACGGTGCACTGAGGTATAGCCTAGACTTCTGATGCGTTTTGATCGATAGGCTGATATACATTGTAGTACTGATGTATTAGATTTATCTGATTGGGTTCTTCTAGTAACTGAATAAAAGTCATGCATCCATACAATCAACCTTTTTAAATCAAATATTGCATTGATCAATTAATACACAGGTAGTCTATTCTAACCTTTCTAAGGATACAGTATTTAGTGCCCACAATTAATTACATTTAAAAAGTGTATTTTTTTTAATCAATAAATCAAACAGAAACCTCAGCAGTAACACCAGGAGTTATCCAGTTGCTTTTCTAACTGCCAAGAAAGTAAATGCACTAGAATGCTTATACAGCATTTTTTGTCCAACACTTCTTGTCTTGTCCACACAAAATGAAACAAAAAATCACAATTCAAAACATCCAACATTTTATTGCCTACGCTTTTTCCATCATGACCAAAAGTTAATTTCAGTTATGATAAACAACACTTTTTAGACAGAGCTATCCCAATATCCAACATGTTAGCTTACATTTGTGTTTGCATTTGAAACAATGCCTCGTTCAAAAAAGTGCTGCGTAAAATTCAAGGTAACATTTTGGATAACGTTGTGCTCCGGTACTGACCGTCGGTATCGAAATGGTTCCAGATGTCGATGAACTGGGTGGCGCTCAATTCCGCCAGATGAAGGTGAGGAGGCTGCTGTGGTTTGTTTGCCATGTTCTCAACGACTTTTCCTCCTGTGCGCTAGAATATCCCGTGCGAACTTTTTATCTGTAGGACCACAATCCACACTGTAACCCCCCTGCGTGTTGCCGGAGCTTTTAAACCAAAGCAGAGACTGCAGTTCCCATATAGCCACGCAGGTGGCGCAGTGACACCAATATCAACGCCCTCACGCATCCATTCGTCTGCGTTCGCCACCTGATGCGAGGAATCGCGCATGGCACTATTCCATGCGGAGAGGGATGTTCAATAGTCCGAATGCATCCAAAGAACATAAATGGACTGAACCGTCCGTTGCTGTTCAGGTTTGAGCTCTGCCATCAAGAACCATATTTCTAGGCTATGTGGCTTGAATTATGTAAATCACATTGAGATGCGCAGGAATTGTCTAGCTCCATGGCAGAAACTTCCCGTGTCATTTCCTTCCTTTATTTTCACTGTCAATTTGCATTCATGTAGAAGATGGGGATGGATTGGCATTGGATAGAGTGTTAATCCTAACTGTGTTTAAGTGTGTTCAATGGACTGCATGGTCACCTCTTAGATGTGTTTACAATCACAGTAAGAGGCACTGGTCCCTAAGGAATTTCCCAAAGGCTTGGGTTAATTATCCTTTAGCGTTCATGCATTGAGAGCAGCTCAGTCAGGAGAACCAGAGCCCAGGGAGGAGTCATGCCTGTGCCCTGGGACTGAGGACGCACAGCAGTAATTACTATAGTCCTGCTGCTGCACAGCCACTGCACTGCATAGAGCTGCTGCATGCACAACTCACTCAGCTTTAATTAATGCCAATTACTAGGGCTTCAGTGAAATGATTCAACCAACGCCAGATTAATTAGAAATCCACACTCTAATCACATTTTATACAGCCCTAGAGGAATCTGTGATTAGGCTGCATTTCTTTGAGGACCAGAACATCCAACCAACATTGCAATCATGAAAAGGCATTTTCCATGCAACTTATAACATACACTACATAACCAAAAGTATGTGGACACCTGCTCGTCGAACATCTCATTCCAAAATTATGGGCATTAATATGGAGTAGGTCCCCCTTTGCTGCTATAACAGCCTCCACTCTTCTGGGAAGGCTTTCCACTAGATGTTGGAACATTGCTGCGGGGACTTGCTTCCATTCAGCCACAAGAGCATTAGTGAGGTCGGTCACTGAAGTTGGGCGATTAGGCCCGCAGTCAGCGTTCCAATTGATCCCAAAGGTGTTTGATGGGGTTGAGGTCAGGGCTCTGTGCATGCCAGTCAAGTTCTTCCACACCGATCTCGACAAACCATTTCTGTATGGAGCTCGCTTTTTGCAAGGGGGCATTGTCATGCTGAAACAGGAAAGGGCCTTCCCCAAACTGTTGCCACAAAATTGGAAGCACAGAATCGTCTAGAATGTCATTGTATGCTGTAGTGTTAAGATTTCCCTTCACTGGAACTAAGGAGCCTAGCCCGAACCATGAAAAACAGCCCCAGACCATTATTCCTCCTCCACCAAACTTGACAGTTGGCACTATGCATTGGGGCAGGTAGCGTTCTCCTGGCATCCGCCAAACCCAGATTCAGCTGTCGGACTGCCAGATGGTGAAGCGTGATTCATCACTCCGGAGAAGGCGTTTCTACTGCTCCAGAGTCCAACTCCAGCCGTTGCTTGGCATTGCGCATGGTGATCTTAGGCTTGTGTGCGGCTGCTCGGCCATGAAGCTCCCGACAAACAGTTTTTGTGCTGACGTTGCTTCCAGAGGCAGTTTGGAACTCGGTAGTGAGTGTTTCAACCGAGGACAGACGATATTTATGCGCTATGCGCTTCAGCACTCGGCGTTTCCCATTCTGTGAACTTGTGTGGCCTACCACTTCACGGCTGAGCCAAAGTTGCTCCTAGACGTTTCCACTTCAAAATAACAGTACTTACAGTTGACCAGGGCAGCTCTAGCAGGACAGAAATTTGACGAACTGACTCGTTGGAAAGGGGGCATCCTATGACAGTGCCACGTTGAAAGTCACTGAGCTCTTCAGTAAGGCCATTCTACTGCCAATGTTTGTCTATGGAGATTGAATGGCTGTCTGCTCGATTTTATACACCTGTCAGCAACGGGTGTGGCTGAAATAGCCGAGTCCACTCATTTGAAGGGGTGTCCACATACTTTTGTATATGTAGTGTACTTGCTGTGTTTGGACATGTCAAGGGTAATGATATTCCTGATTTAGCGTTTCTCTATTGGATTTATACAATCTTCTCAGTCATGCTCAACTCTCCTTGGACGTGCAGATGGAGTTTCAATGGTCAATAATGTAACAATGATGAATGCCATCTGTAGGAAGCTCAGAAATGAGGGCACACCCTGGTGTAAAAATGTGGATTTCTACTACAGGAGAAGCTACTGGCTACAGCTTAGAGGTGGGCTTTAGTCCAAGTGTCTGTCTGGACTGAGCTGCCCTGGCCTTGGGGCACAACACCTCAAAATGATCCTCTGTGAAAATTGTAAATTCCCTCAGTTATTGAGGAAATATGTCTTGTAAATTGATGTATCCACGACCTGGCAGTGTCACACTTCCCCTTGTCTCCTCATGACATACTGTAGTCCTCCTCTCAAGGCCAATGGCGAGTTTGGGACTACGCTGGCTCTGAGACTGGCTCTGTGTTCTGACACTGACCAGGGTGGAACAGTGCAACAGACATCTTTTGGATGTCATAAAGGGCTCAGTAACCCATACAACTTTGTATGGAAAGTCAGCTAACATAATTTGAAATGTGTGGTCAGCTAATATGATCTGCAATTGACAGTCAGACAATACCATCTGGACAGTTGTCACCTGAATCTTGGCACAGTCCCATCCTCCATCAGATCCTATGCTGACAAGCTGGTTTGGGAACATTGAAAGCCTTTATTCAGCAGAGATGTCTCAGTCTATTTCCACCGCAGGTCTTTTCACCATGCAATCAATAGTCTCACTTCACGTTTATTGGCAAGACAGGGACAGATAGATCAGCATTCTGGAGATAAGAGCTGTCACAATGCAGAGAGGATTAAAGCGTTGACCTTAAGACAATAGCAATGGCTTTCTAGTCCTTCACCCCCTACCCTTTTTCAGTTATCACTCTTGTTTTGTCTATTGAAGGAAGGTGGTCGTTTGTCCCCTTCATGAATATAGATTGATTGATGCACAAACAGCGAATAGCAATTGTTCATATAAATATTAAAACCGTGTCTGACTCATAATGTTGTATTCAATTGTGGGTTTCCCACCTCCGCTGCTCATGTATTTATCTTTCTTCCTTCCTCTCTACTAGTTTGTGATTTTAATGAACAAATAAAGATAAACTTAAGCAAACTTTTAAAAGAGTGTGTGTTGTTCCACTGTGCACTGTTGTGTGCCGGTGGGAATCTCCCAAACTGCTTTTGGAAATGAATACTTTAAAATCCCTCTCTTATTATGACACTCTCTCTTTACAGGCTTTCTCCCTCTGGTAGCTTAGAAGATTTGAGCCAAGAGAGTGGGGAAATAAAAAAAGGCTCTCCATCAACAGTGGGATTGCACTGCACTGATTACACCAAAATGAAAAAGATCAAAACAACAGGATGGAGGAGGGGAATGTGTGAGTGTGTTGTTAAGAGATATCTGGGTAGGATACAGGGAGAGCGTGCCTCGTGATCTAAAAATGAATATATATATATTTTTTTTAATGGTGTGTGTTTATATAGAGTAGAAAGACCACACAACTAGTATCACATTCGTCAATCTTTACCTCGATTTCTTGTGTGTGTGATTTACAAGTTTAGTGGCTCATATGGGTTTACTCTTAACTGAAATCAGTCATCCACATAGAGACCTCGGAAAGAAGAGTGCCCCTGAAACAGGAAATATGAGGCCTGTGAGAACATTAACGCAAAGTGCCATGAATTCATATTGAGCTAAAATGGAATTGGGATCTCTAGGATGATTTAGCAGTTGGTGTTTGAGCGATAGGGGGGAAAAGCTGCAAAAAGGGAAGGAAAATGAGCCTGGAAAAGAGAAAGAGGGAAAAGATAGGAAGAAACACTAAAACAATTTCTGATATCTGACCCAAGATGGAAGAAAGTGTACAATGCATGATTACCACAATGTATCTAGCTAACTCACTGAGACATCATGACATCATGCAATTAACTATGAGATTGCCTCAATGTGCAGACCTCACTGCACACACAGCTTTGCATTATTTACACGTCTGCAAGTGGCTAACTTCATTACTGTGTTGTACAGGTGTTGGATCTTAATTTGATCACCCTGTTGCAGGAGAACCTTCCTTGTCTCATCGTTGCAACTCCCCAACAGGCTCGGGAGAGGCGAAGGTGGAGTCATGTATCCTCCGAAACATGACCCACCTAACCACGCTCTTTAACACCCGCCAGCTTAACCCGGAAGCCAGCCGCAACAATATGTCAGAGGAAACACTGTTCAACTGGCGACAGCCTGCCCGCAATAAGGAGTCGCTAGGGCGCGATGTGCCAAGTAAAGCCCCTCCGGCCAAACCCTCCCCTAACCCGGACGACGCTGGGCCAATTTAGCAACGTCCTATGTGACTCCCGGCCACAGAATAACACGGGTCTGTAGTAACGCCTCTAGCACTGCGATGCAGTGCCTTAGACCGCTGCGCCACTCGGGAGGCCCATGACAGGTGTGTTTTTTAATCTGACCTTTGCGTGGTGGTCAAATCGATTTGACCTATCTGGATCATAGGAATTCAGTAACGCTTATGTTGCCTCCATTTCAGGCAAGATGAAAATCATGTGTTGCTTGCTAAAGTCAGTTACATTTATCTTGGAGTATGTAGAGACAAATAACTACTTTGTAGATCGATACCAATTGCATGATGAGAAAACAAACAAATAAAGTAGTGTCACTCAAACATGCATTACACACACTACATGCAAGCACACATACACATACACACACACACCTGCTTGTTTTTTTATTCAGTGTAGCGCTGTAATGTCCTCATGAATGTATCTTGGAGTGACTATTAATCAGTGTATTTAATAGAGAGTAAAGGGGGCCCTAGCCTGTTCTCCCTCCCTACTGCTTAAGCAGTTTACACAGGGCATCCTCTGATTCATTCATATTTCAGCACTGATTACAAGGGTGGTTCCTTGGCAATGGAGTCTGCAGATACTGCTGGTGATGCTAAGAGACAAAGGGAGAGCATTGTGTCATCATCTCCTAAATGATTTACTGGTCCACACGACATTGGTAGATTGTATTTGAAACATTGATGAACATTAAGTAGGCCTACATGATGGGTATCGCAATATCATATTTGATTAAGCATGTACTCTCAACAACAACATGTAATATCATGTGTTGTAATTGACAACATGTATCAGTAGAGTCTTCAAATGTCACGTCACTTTTTTTCACGCTCACTCTGGACAACACACTGTGTTTGACCTGAGCCATTTATAGACTGTGCATTTGACGATTCTACATTATGCACAACAATGAGCGGTTGTTATCGAGATTGCTACAGTGATGGGGTGAGCCAACAGTGTAGTATGTAATATTGTTCTTAAACCATTTGAGAAAGGTGTTTTTTTCTGCATTGTCTTTGTGTTCATTTTGTTGCATATTTGCAGTGGTAGATTATGCCATAAATAGAAACACCTTTGGAGATATTTCTCTATTTCTGGTGGCAATCTGTGGGCTCACCGTGTTAATATTTCATCTCAGCTCCACTTCTACAGTGCGTTGGCAGAACTGTTGAATTATGTAGTGGATAGGGGATGGGAAAGATCCTTTTCATTCATCACATTTTGCAGCATATGTGTTTAGTTGTCGATGTGTTCATGTCTTGTCTTTAGGTATACAGTACTGTGACCCAGGTCTCTCGAAATACTGATTGGGAGGGGGAGTTGACATGGGGTGTGGAAGAGTATCCCCCTTCTATTTTCCTCTCGTTTCAAAAGATTCCTCCTTTTATTGATCAACATCATTGATGATAATCCATTTCTTGCCCTTCTCAAACAAAGCATAACATTTCTTTACTGCTCTAGGAAGCACCTTAAAAATGGAATCCACACTAGGGGAAATAGTGCCACATCCGCCCCACGGCCGTTGTTATTGTTTTTGTTTTGTTGACTAAGCAGAGCTGGGGAGCGTCGTGCATCCTGGTAAAAAAAGATTGCAGTACATATGCTGCTGTTCTATTAGTGCATGCAATGATGCCAGAGGGACATCATTTGTTGTTTGCAGTAACTTCTTTGTTGTTGTAATATCGCAAACGGACTTGGCTGTTTCACCATTAAGAATTACAGCTTTAAAAGACAGGACTCTGTTCTCTTCCCATATTGCTGGAGAGTCAATATGAAAACAAACGATAGGTAATAAACCATTCCCTTCAAAGGATTTTCACTACCTGTAATCTCACACTAACATTGCTCCTGCACAAACACACAATTATGCAAGCATGCACTCACACAACCTTTAACTCAAGGTGCTCACAGTGCCGTCTATACAGTATGTGGCTTTCACAATAACATAGTACACAATTTTACAAGTGTAATTTGTTGGTTTTATTTGAAAACAATGTATTATATAAAAAATGCATTTGTTTTTAGGACTGAAATTACAGTAAATAAGTTAATCTCCTACATACAGTGCATTACTACTCCTCAACTGTGACAAACATCTGAAATCAACAGTCTCCTTTATATGACTACGAAAATAAGTGGCCAAATATACACTGAGTGTAAAAAACATTCAGAACACTGCTCTAGACTGACCAGTTGAATCCAGGTGAAAGCTATGAGCCCTTATTGATGTCACTTGTTAAATACACTTCATCAGTGTAGATGGGGAGGATTAAAGAAGGATTTTTAAGCTTTCAGACAATTGGACATGGAATGTGTATGTGTGCCATTCAGAGGGTGAATGGGCGAAACAAAATATTTGAGTGCCTTTGAATGGAGTATGGTTGTAGGTGCCAGGCGCATCAGTTTGTGTCAAAAACTGCAACGCAGCTGGGTTTTTCACACGCAACAGTTTCCTGTATGTATCAAGAATGGTCCACCACCCAAAGGACATCCAGCCAACTTGACACAACTGTGGGAAGCATTGGAGTCAACATGGGCCAGCATCCCTGTGGAACGCTTTCGACACCTTGTAGCGTCCAAGTCCCGAAGAGGGCAAAAGGGGTTGCAACTCAATATTAGGAAGGTGTTCTTAATGTTTGTACACTCAGTGGCTTTTAAAAATGTTATACTTTTTATCACTCAGATAAATTTGATTATTCTTATAACCATGATTAGGTATGGCAATCTCTCCATCAAGGAGCTGTCTTCAATTAAAATAATTAACTCCGATTAAAATGGTGGAATTAAAGGTCCACCAATGAATATATATATAGTTAATTATTACTAATGAGTAACAACACAATGATTGTTGGTCCACGTGATATACAGACCATTGATTGGTCTTTCAGTGCTTGATCCCTTAATCACAATGATCATGAGAATCATTTGTACCTACTAGAATTTCCATTTACAGTACAGTATTAATGTACATAGTGCAGTACATTCATGAAGGCAAATTAGACATTTCTATGCAACAGTTGATGGTTTAGATGTATTATGGTCCTAAATATCTTACAGTTTGTTCAGTGTGATCGTTGATGCATTGTTATGCATTGGTATGCATTTTCAAGTTTTTTTTAAAGTAAGAGGAATATATTATTCTTCTCCTGGCTGTTGTAGTCTGTGACCACCTTGTTGGTGATGAGAGACAGGCCGAAGACACGGAGACCACAGTGACGGGCCACCACCACCTCAGGGACTGTACTCATACCTACAGAGCACAGACAGAGGATGAGAGAAGACAAGCATTGAGTTTGGTCATAGAGTTGATTTTCATCCAGACACTCATACCATTTCTGTAGAAGAAATGGACATGGCTATTGAGAGATTTGAAGGCCATGGTAAAAACCCAATGAACCATACTTACCCACAGCATCTGCGCCTAGTTTCTGGAGAGCTCTGCACTCAGCGATGGTCTCAAAGGTGGGACCTGCCAGCATGCAGTATACGCCTTGCTGGATGAAGGAGGAACAGCCCTGCTCCTCAGCAGTCTCTTTGGCCAGTCTAGAAAGGTCTTTGTCATAGGCGTCCGACATGCAGGGAAAACGGACTCCAAACCTGAAGCATTACATAAAGTCCTGTGTCATTTCAGAGGCCCTCGATGTCAGGTAAAGGACAAAGTACAATCCAAGGAGTCCACAAGGGTAAGACCCATGCCCTTTACTGTAATAAAATGCCAGTAATCAGGCTCCTTGTATGGGAAAATGTGGGAGGAGACCTCTGGGGAGCCTTTTACACAGCAGAGAGGAGCCCATCCTCCTCAGACAGAGGAAACATGCAACACAACCCTTCCTTCCAAAGATCAAAAGATTGCTATTCTAACCTTTCATCGTTGTGACCACACAGTGGATTTTGGCCTGCAAAGCCTGGCATGTTGATGTGATCCTTGACCAGCATGATGTCACCCACTTTAAAGTTGGGGTTCAGCCCCCCAGCAGCATTGGTGACGATCAAGGTCTCCACCCCCAGCAGGAAGAACACTCGCACCGGGTACGTCACCTGGAGAGAAAGAGGAACTAGAGATAAGGGATCAGTCAGTGCTGACATTTTTCAACAGCAAAACTGCACTGTTTTCATTATTACTAGGTGACTACACTATAATCACTATAGAGGTTGGAATCATTTTCACAAAAAGTAAATTGAAACCTTTATAGTCTTAATGCTTACAGTAGGTCAGGGTGCAGACAGATTATGTTTTAAGAGTGTCCCAAGATTTAGAGGTGAAAATTCAACTCACACTGTCAAAGGTTAACCCAAGTTGCCTGCTATGCTACTTTCACAGAGGTCAAAAGCTAACTAAAGACACTAACTGTTTTATTCTAACATAATGGGACTTCTTCATAAAAGTGCAAACTGTTGAAGTATCATTGCGGACTTCACTACTAGTTTGAAAGAATATAGTAGCTGCTTTTAAAAATAAATATCATCCCATAAGGTTTAAGGTTTATCATGGGATATACAAGCATTTCAATACACCTTTTCATTAAATATTAATCCAATGTAATGAGGATATGGCTCTGGTGGGTCGAGAGCGGAGCTCACCGTGGCAACGTCATAGCCCTCGTAGAAGTGGAAGCGGCCCTGCATGCAGACACACTGCTTCCCCTGCAGCTCCCCAAATACCAGCTGACTGGCATGTCCTTGTACTTCAGTGGTGCAACAAGAAAGACAGGAGGAGGATTTTTATAGAATTGCTGAATGTAAATATTTCAGTCAGGTCCCAAGGACAGGAAGCAGCAGCCACCATCGGGTGACTGTCTGGTTCTGGGTCACAGTGAAGGACTGGTGTTCTTACTTCAACTTTCAAAACATCCATGTAAACATTTCTTATCTAACATTAAATTATTAAATGCATAAGTTATCAATGACCATTTTAACTTCTATTGAGCTATTGAGCTGGATGATGTAATGATGCATGTACAAACTGAAGACAGCATGATGCTGTACAATTTCAGGTGGTAGAGTGCATGATAAGGATGGTGTCTGACCTGTGCTGTGGGGGAAGTGTGGGAGGTCCTTGTAGGGAAACACAGTCTTGTTGTCCAGCAGGTCAGCAAGACCACCGAGGCCAGAGCCACAGATAATGGCTACTTTAGGCCTCTGCTCAGTGTGGGACAGCAACCAATCAGCTGTCTCCCTGTAATCCTCATATTTGTAACTGAGGAAAGAAACAGATGGTAAGTTCATGTTATTCAGTATAATGTTACAATCTAAATCATAAAAAATAATATGTGTTTCTGCAGAGATAGACTACTATACACCTTTCATCTGAACACAACCAATGGGAACATTTGCTTTTTGATTATGCAAAACCTGTCAATTACATAAGGGTAATCTTAAAAAGTATTTTAGCAAATCCTACAGCTAGTAATAACAGAATCACAGACAAACACACCCCTTCACCCGCTCTCTTGGTACTGAATGTGTGTGTGTGTGCGTGTGTGTGAGAGAGAGTGTGTGTGTGGGGGGGGGGGGGGGGGGGGGGGGGGGAGAGAGGGGGAGAGCTTATCTAATTGAATTAAACTGAATTCAACAAAATGTAATTAACTTCTACACATTTAAACTCTACAAGCATATCAAGTTGTATTGGCATTTGAGACATTATGGTTGTTGGCAAACTCATCAGGTGGACATGGTGAATGATTGCAAGTCCTGTCATTTAAAAGTAAGCATACACAGCTTTTATAAGTGACCATAAATCCAACGAGATCACTTGGTCTGGAGGCCAATCTAACAAACATTAGTTGCATAGAAAGCAGTTTGAGTTCTGTTGTTTTTAACAAAATAAAAACAGGCCATATTTACGTTTTGAACCAATAAATCGCCACAGAGTAAACAAAGTCCTGACGAAAGCAAACAGTGCGTCTTCCTCAATTTTCTTTGGGGGGTAATACAACCTGTTCAATATTAGCAATAAATCTCGTCACCATTAACGTTCATATCTGGCATGTTTAATTTGAAGTATTGAAGCTGCTTTTTATACTGGTAATTCAACCTTCTGCTCGCTGTAGTAAAATGGGGGGAGCTGTTACAGGACAGGAGCAGTGAACGAGTAAGCTGTAAGCAGTGAACGAGTAAGCAGTGAACGAGTAAGATTGGCTGATTCCGGGAAAGCGCAGCGATTCAAGGACGGAGCTGTCCGTGGTGCTACTGACCACTGCGGGATCAGCACTTTCCATTCAGGACGGTCCACGGGGCCGCGCGACCGCACACTCCCTGAACCAGGCGCTCAATGAACACACACAATGGCCACTCATTGTGTATTTATAGGCAGACACAACGCCGAGTCCCTTTCCTTTCAAATGAGCTGGCAAAAGTAGGGCCGCTTACAATGCTTCAATCAAATCAAATCAAATTGTATTTGTCACATGCGCCGAATACAACAGGTGTAGAAGCCTTTAACCAACAATGCAGTTTTAAGAAAAATAAGAGTTGAGAAAATATTTACTAAATAAACTAAAGTAAAAAAAATAAAATTAAAGAGTAAGAATAACATTTTGCATAGGGTTTGCATGAAAAGCAAGCATGTCTCTTTAAGTGTTACCCACGCCATCGTGTACCTACGTATGAGGATGTAGCCTAGTCACTAAAATGATAGGGAGATAAAAAGCTAAAATATTGTTCAATATTATTAACCTTATTTGAATAATATAGATTTTCGATATGTAGGCCTATAACAATTTGTATTGATATCTATCAGATAAATCAATATTACCAGAGAACCACGATAATCTCTTGCCATAAACATTTGCAAATCTGCCCATTTCATGTAGCCTTATCCACTGAAACATTGTAGCCTATGACTGACTGACTGAAACTGGTATTTTGAAATTGGGACCAGGGCCCGGTGTCCCAAAAGCATCTTAAGGCCAAGTTCATCGTTAGGACCTTCTTTTGAGAATCGTTAAATCTCCAAGCTTTTTCCCAAAACCATCGTTATTAACGTTGCACTTGAAAACGCTCGTAATCTAACGCCTGCCTCAAACTACTCGTAGAACAGCTAAATGCGTCGTTAATGCTTTTTTACCCTCCCGCTTCACCTTGTACACAGAAGATCTACGCTAAACATAGAATAACTGGTTTGCCCGTCTCTCTGTGACCGCAGATAACTTTAGGACAAAGTTAAATACAAATACAAAGCTGCTAATGTCTTTGCAATTGATACAAGCAAGCGACGTATGAAAACAAAACCGGGATTACCGCAATAAAATATAGCCTAAATTCAGTAGTCTATAGGCCTATTTCATTCATATTGAAATACGTTTCATGTTCAATTAATTGATTTATATTTTGCTACTTGTATGCTACAGTCTGTAATTTGTCTCAATACATATTTCATTATGTGTAGCCTAACATGTGTGCAATGATGTGCCAAATGATTTAGTGCATTTGTTATTGGGTAAGCATTAGAATAAGCCGCCTCAATATTTGCAGCCGTAGGTGGTAATATCTCTATTGGAGCTGATCCATCATCAGTATTGTGCAATAATTAGAATGTTAAGGAAAGATTTGAATGGAGAAAGCTGATCCGAGAGCAGCGCTCCCTTTCTTTCGATCCTATCAGTATCGATACTTGCTCCAACGACGCACAGCGGCTAAGACCGTTCTCTTTGCGTGATGTTTTGGGAAACGCATGTTACATCTTCCGCCATTGTAGGACATTTGCTATCGGGAAACCAGGACCAGAACATTCATGGGTTACTGTGCACTTCCAACCCCTGACACAGACGAATTGATTAGCATATAACCCTGCCTAAATTGTTATAGGCTCTACTGTAGCCTACCATGAGGACAACCGTTCAACCAGAGTGCATTTCACCCCGATATAGGCTACACCGATATGTTATCTTGCCTGCATGGGTTTGAGGATGAAATGTTCATTGCTGTTTGTTCGTCAGCTACTGAGTTTAACGACAAACGGTAATCGTAGGATGAGGTCAAGGCTGCGACGGACGGATGTGATGGTAGGGTGGCGTGACGGAGGAGGAGTCGTTAGATTTGCGGTTCCTTTGATAGGGCTCGTTGTCCTAATCCAATTTTCGAACAGACTGGGCCCGGTTTCCCAAAGCATCTTAAAGCAAAGTTCATCGTAGGAGCATCGACATCGTTAAATCTCCGAGCTGTTTCCCAAAACCATCGTTAGTTAAGTTGCACTTGAAAACGCTCATTATTTAAAGAATGCCTGGTTAGATTCTTTTTTGCCTTTCCGCGTCAATTTATACACAGAAGATATCATCAAAACATATAATCAAGCTGTTTATCTGTCTCTCTGTGACCGCGGATAACTTGGGAACGAAGTTGACTGCAAATACAAAGTTGACGGTCTTTGCAATTGAACAAGCAAAGGATTTAAAAAAATGCTTAAAATTAAAACCGAGATGACTGCATTAAACAATAAATAGTCCTACAGTAGGTCTATAGGCTACATAGGCCTATATATTTAAATCATATTGAAATAAATGTCATGTTCAGTCAATTGAGTTCTATTTGTAGGCTACACTGACTATTCTTTGCCTCAATATATTAGGTAACAACACATCTGCCACACTGATCCTCAACACGGGGGCCCCTCAGGGGTGCGTGCTCAGTCCCCTCCTGTACTCTCTGTTCACCCATGACTGCATGGCCAGGCACGACTCCAACACCATCATTAAGTTTGCCGACGACACAACAGTGGTAGGCCTGATCACCGACAACGATGAGACAGCCTATAGGGAGGAGGTCAGAGATCTGGCCGTGTGGTGCCAGGACAACAACCTCTCCCTCAACGTGACCAAGACAAAGGAGATGATTGTGGACTACAGGAAAAAAAAGAGGACTGAGCACGCCCCCATTCTCATCGACGGGGCTGTAGTGGAACAGGTTGAGAGCTTCAAGTTCCTTGGTGTCCACATCACCAACGAACTATCATGGTCCAAACACACCAAGACAGTCGTGAAGAGGGCACGACAAAGCCTATTCCCCCTCAGGAGACTAAAAAGATTTGGCATGGGTCCTCAGATCCTCAAAAAATTCTACAGCTGCACCATCGAGAGCATCCTGACTGGTTGCATCACCGCCTGGTATGGCAACTGCTTGGCCTCTGACCGCAAGGCACTACAGAGGGTAGTGCGTACGGCCCAGTACATCACTGGGGCAAAGCTCCCTGCCATCCAGGACCTCTATACCAGGCGGTGTCAGAGGAAGGCCCTCAAAATTGTCAAAGACTCCAGTCACCCTAGTCATAGACTGTTCTCTCTGCTACCGCACGGCAAGCGGTACCGGAGTGCCAAGTCTAGGTCCAAAAGACTTCTCAACAGCTTCTACCCCCAAGCCATAAGACTCCTGAACAGCTAATCATGGCTACCCGGACTATTTGCACTGCCCCCCCACCCCATCCTTTTTACGCTGCTGCTACTCTGTTAAGTATTTATGCATAGTCACTTTAACTCTACCCACATGTACATATTACCTCAACTAGCCGGTGCCCCCGCACATTGACTATGCAACGGTACCCCCCTGTATATATAGCCTCCCTACTGTCACTTTATTCTATTGTATATATAGCCTCCCTACTGTCACTTTATTTTTTACTTCTGCTCTTTTTTTCTCAACACTTTTTTGTTGTTGTTTTATTCTTACTTTTTTGTTTAAAATAAATGCACTGTTGGTTAAGGGCTGTAAGTAAGCATTTCACTGTAATGTCTGCACCTGTTGTATTCGGCGCATGTGACCAATAAAATTTGATTTGATTTGATTTGATTTGATATATTTCATGATGTGTAACAACATGTGCGCAATGATGTGCCAAATTAATCTGTGATTGAGTGCGTTATAGCATAAGCATTAGAATAAGCCGCCTCAATATTTGCAGCCATTAGGTGATAATATCTCTATACGAGCTGAATCGTCGTCAGTATTGTGTAATAATTCTAATGTTAAGGTAAGATTTGAATGGAGAAAGGTGATCAGAGAGCAGCGATGCCTTTCTTTCGATCCTATCAGTAGGCGTATCGACACGTGTTCCAACAACTCACTTTGTGAACGTTCTTCGGCCGTTGTAGGAAAGATGCATAATTAAAACACTCGTAAGACTAAATAAAGTTCAATGATGGAACTTCCACCCGCGCAGTCGGAGTCTTGAGGAATGATAGTGGGCTTCACCACAAAAAAAGTATTTACTGAAATTGTGAAAATGCATGAAGGGG